GTGGAGTGTCTTCTTTGAACTTGGTTTTTTGGGTCTCAGCCTCTCTCCAGTGGCTTCGTGTAGTGATCCATAGCCCAAGCTCTGGAGCCAGACTCCATGGGTTCAAATGCAGGCTCTGCCGCTTTCTAACTGTGTAACCTTGGGCAGCTGTGCCTCAGTGTCCTCATCTGTAAAATGGGTATGACATTAGCACTTACTAGAGTTTTGGGGAGGATTTGGGGATTTAATACATATAAAGGGCTTCAAACTGTGCCTGGAAAACAGTAAGCGCTTAATAAATATCAGCAACTACTAAAGTGCTTAGCACAGGCATCCAGCTCATAGAATACCCTCAGCAAAAGGAACCTGATTATTATCACTCAGTGATGTCATCAATTAGTCTACAGATTGAACAGAACTAATGATGTCTCCAGTTACTAGGCAGATTTAGACCCTCGGTGGGAGTGATGGCGCATCACTAGTTGCCAGGTAGACTTGGCTTTGAGTGGTGTTGATGACATCATCAGTTACCAGGCAGATTCTAGTTAGAATGTGAGCGCCACAACCTTCTTTCATGTTTGAAATTCTGTTGTGTCCCAGTCTACACTCTTCCCTGATGCCTTTGGACACAGGATTTTCTTGTGTCTGAGCCTCAATTTTCTCAGGATAATAAAAGTACCAGCTTCATGGGGTTATTGAGAAACTCGAATGAGTTAAGGCATACAAAGGACACCTCGTCCAGCACACAGCATGCAGTGACAGCAGCTCTTGTCACCCCTGCTGCAGGATGCCTCCATGGAGAACACTCCAGCCAGAGTGACAGGTACTCTTAGCTCTGTCTTGGTTAAGAGCACAGATTCAGGGGTCTGACCCATGGGAGTCAGAGCCTAGATCTGCCACCAACAGCAGCCAAGAGCCCCTGGGCATGTTACTGGCCTGTAAAGTGGTGTAATGATGGTGCCAATGTCATAGGGCTGGCATGAGGGTGCATTGAGATAATCACAGTTATGTTCCCAGCACACATTCAGGTGTCATGAATGTGACCAGTATTATCACTGCAGGTCCTCTTGGAAAGGGACTTCCCTCCTGGGAACTCGGTTTATTCATCTACAAAGAAGGAAGAGGTGGCTGTGGCAATCTCGAAGCCATGGCAATCTTGACATTTCATGGTCACAAGGACAGCTCTGTGACTGTCCTTTGTCATTGCTGAGCGAATGCACTGGGAGTTGGATGCTTGAGCCTATGTCTGCCCTGAGCACCAATACTAGCTTCTCTCCTCTTGTCTCTTTGTCACCCCATCTCTTGCCTCCCAGCTTTTCCCCTTCCTTTTCCCTTCCTCTGGCTTCTTTCCCTTGTTCTAGACTTCAGATGTGCATAGTTTCTATCCTGCATGCTGTTTGTAGGGCAATAAACTACAACACTAATACTAATCAGTATTTGTGTATTTAGCCTTTTCCCAGGGCCAGGATTGTGCTAACAGCTTCGTATGCACTAGTTCATTTAATCCATACAATACAAGTGCTTACCATTATTTATTTGACAAACATTTATTAAGCACCTACTGGGCGCCAGGTCCGGGGGATTCAGCACTGAAAAAAAAAAAAGATATTTGCCCTTGTAGGACTTAGATTCTAGTGGGCAGACAAATGACAAACAGATAAACAAATTACCAAACACTACCAGTGCTATGAGACAAACACAAGCAGGGTCAAGGCAGGAGTAAGTGATAAGGGGACTGTTTAATATAGGGTGGCTGGAAAAGGCCTCTTGGAAGAGGTGACATGGAAGCAAAATTGATGATGTGAGAAGGAGGTAGCCATGCAAAACCTAGGGGAAGAGCTTTCCTGGAGCAAGGAACAGGTTACATCAAGGCCTTGGGGCAGGATCATACCTGAAGAGTGTTTGAAAAACTGAGGAACAACCAGGAGGGCACTGCAGCTGGAGCAGAAGGAGGAGGTTGGGGTGGGGTCAGGTCAGAGAGAGCAAAAGGGGCCACATCATGCAGGGCCTTGTGGGCCATGGTGAGGGCTTAGACTTTTACTGAGTCATGGAAGGTTCTGAACAGAGGAGGGCCCGGTCGGAATAGAGTTTGGCAGGATCCCATCAACAGTACAGACAAGCGTGGGGGCAGACGGACTATCACTCCCATTTTGCGGGTGCAGAAACAAATGGAACCTTAGAAAAGTCCAGCAAATGGCTCAAGTCCACACAGCTGCTGAGCAGCACAGCCAGGCTGGCAGACCGCCTTGGGTTTTCTCTGTGACCTTGAGAAGTCTCCCGCCTCCCCCAAGCCTCAGTTTTCCTCTGTAAACTGGGAATCATTGCCCTGTGTTTGGGCACAAGTTCTGGAGTCAGATTTGGCGGAGTTCTTGTGCCAGCTCTATGACTTTCGGCATTAACATCCTCTTTCCAAGCTCCGGTTTACCTCATCTGGAAGATGAAGGTCTTAATGGCACCGATTTCAAGGGGTTCGTTGTAAGGATTAAATGAGATCATGCAGGTAACGTGCTAGGTGCAGCTCCTGGCAAGCATCGGGCGCTCACTACATGATGCCTATTCTGATGGCATCACCGCCCACACCTCCCCGGTGGGTGAGAGCCTGGGAGAGTGCCTGGTACGCGGTCGGCTTTCGACAAAAGTGAATTCTCTCTCCCGTCTCTCCTGCCCGCCGGCTCTCCGGGGACCCAGGCATTCCGGCCTGCAGCCGCCCCCCCACGCCGGCGGCACAAAGGCCCCCATTCATGCCTGGCGCACAAAGCGGCCCATTCACCCGGGCCCCGTGGGCCTCCGCGCCCCGGCCGCCCCCCGCGCCTCGCCATTGGTCGCGCCCTCTGCCCGTCAGGCCTGGGGTCCCACCCAGGGCCGCGCCGCCTAGCTCGGCGCTTCGGCTGGGTTCTTTTCCCACGGCTGGCACCCTTCGGCAACTTCCGATTGGCTCCACTTGCCAGCCGCTCTCGGTGATTGGCGGCCTCGCTCCCCATGGGCGGGGCCGAGGCTTGCCGCAGCGGGCGCCGATTGGCTCCTGCTGCGCTTGTGGGGGCGGGGCGGTCCCGGCGGGCCCAGCCCTCTTTCTCCCCAGGCCGAAGCCTCCGGACGGCCCTGGAAGCCGGTGAGTGCCCGGGGCCGGCAGCTGGCCTGGGGCGGCGGAGCGGGGCTGGGGCCGGGAGGTGGAGTCTGGGGGCTGCGGCCCGGGCGGGCCCGGGAGGCCGGCGCGGGAGGCGGGGGAGGGGCGGTGACGCGACACTCACCTTGACCGAGCAGCGGGACGGTGGCGGGGAGGGGGGGTTGTCTACACTCCCCCAACTCAACTTCCTCCTGGGTGTGAGGCCGGGCTGGGGTCCTAGCTGGCGGCCTCGGGCCTGTTCCGCAGAAGGGGAAACTGAGGCTCTCTTTGGGACCTTGGACGCTTTAATACCTGAGTCATCGCCTCAATCCTCTGCCACCAGAATGGCGATGTCTCTGTTTTCCCGTGTAATAATTGCATGTCAGAGAAAGGGGTCACGACTGGCAGGGGTAGAGGGGTGGGAAAAGACATGTTTGAGCGCCTACCATGTAGTGGGACGTTTTTATCTCTATAACTAAATAACTTCCTTTCATTATCCTGTTAACTCAAAGTGGGTTACAATGTACCCATTTTATAGAGAGGAAAAAACTGAGACAGAGTTTGTGACTGCGGAGGGACCCGGTGGAGACAGCACTTTGAAGACCAACTGTATGCAGGATCCTTTAACCGTTTTAATCGCACAGTAGCCCCCAAAGAAGGCAGTGGCCCCTAAGGCAGACGCCAAAGGCTCACAGTGTCACTAACTGGGACCGCGAAACTGATGTCTTTGGAGACCTACCACCAGTTCTCCCCAAATTCCCTGCTTGTTAAAGGCAGGTAGCGCTGGGCTCGAATCCCAGCTCTCTCCCTCTTGCTCTATGTCCTTAGTGACTTCGCCTGTCTGTGCCTCGGTTTCCCCACCAGAGAAATGGAGATGTGATTATCTCTATCTCATTGGTTGTTGAGGTCATTCTAGGATCTGGAAGAGCTGTTCTAAGAGCAGAAAACACCCCCGGCACATAGTAGGTGCTCTTGTCACTGTTTACTCCTCATCTCACCCCGAGGACACTGCAGCTCAGGAGGCCAGAATAACATTTTGTCGTCTTTGGTACTCGTCGTCCTACTCTGTAGATTGTGTTGTTCCATTTGCAGGGTCGGGGAAACTGAGGTTTAGAGAGATTAAATGATGAAGTATTGGGCTGGGAACTTTCTCCAGATCGTTCTGTTAATTTCATTGGCCGCAATTCACAGCGAGGAAAGCTGAGGCCTGGAAAGCTTGAGCGGGATTCGAACTCTGGGAGTCCTCAGTCCCCTTCTTGGTGGGTCCCTGACCTTTGCCCGACAGAAGGAGGAGCAGCCCCTGGCGTCGCCGCCGCCTACCTGGTAACAAGCTCACCGCCGCCTTTCCCCATCCCTTTGAAAAAGGCCCGGAGGCTCCGGGACCCGCCCCTTCCCCAGCCCAGCAGGTGCCGGGTGACGTCGGGGCCCGGCTCCCGCCCCTTGACGCACACGGCCCCGCCCCGCGCTGGACCGCGGAGGTAGCCGCACCTGAGGGCTGGGAAGAGGACCCGGGATTCCCGTGCCCTCTCCCCTTCTCCCGCTCCGGCCCGTGTCCCCAGGTAGTCGCGAGGACTGGCAGGTTGAGGGGGCGGGGACACAGGCCCTTGGGTCCAGGGAAGGTGGGTGTTGGGCGCTCAGACGCCTGTATGTGGGGAGGGGGGTTGGGGGCCGGGTATCCCAGGTGTGAGTGAGGCGGGGACTCCTGGGTCTTACGGGACGAGAGAACTGGGAGCTTGGCTTTCTGCGTCTGTGGGGACAGGGGCCGGGGCCTGGACTCTGGATGGAAAGGAGGGGAAGGTTGGGGACCCCGGCGCCCGAATGCTAGCACTAAGCTGAGGTCAGAGGGCTGGGCGCCGGGGGACCCAACCTCTGCCCCAGGGGCGGATCCCTGGCTGCTTTTACTTTTCCAGCCCAGCAGTCTCTGCCCCTCCCTGGGCAGGTGCTTTCACCTGCCCAGGTGACAGTAATGAGCCCTGGCAGCGCGTTCTTGCCGGTTGAGGGAGGGTGGAGCGGCGGGAGGGGCGCAGCTGTTGGGAGCGGATTGCTGCAGGCCGCGCGATCCGGGCTGGGGTCCGACCTCAGAACCAGCATCCTCACCTGGCCCGGCTGCAGTGAGGTGAGCGGCCCCCCGGCACTTCTGAGTCCAGAGGACAAGGGGGCTGGGGGTTCAAACTCCTGGGTCCTGGAAGATTAGGGGACCCAGGGCCAGGACTGCTGAGCCTGGGGGAGGACAGGGCTGGGGACCTGGACTCCTGGCTCCAGGGAGGGGAGGCGCAGGGCTGGGTGATTGCAAAAACTCCCAAACCCTTCCTGGTCAAAGGCCATGGGGCAGGAGAGGAAGTGGGTGGGGTGAGAGTGGGGGGTAAAGTCCCAGGGATGGAGCTTGGCTCTGGTGTTTCAAGGCCACCCTGGAGGCCTGGGGTGAGCCTTGGTGATCCGTGGAGAAATGCGGGCGGGGCAGGGGGAGACAGTGGGACCTGCGGGCAGGAGGCTGGGGGTGGGGAAGACAGGCATCTTCTGGGCCAGATCTGCGGGTGCCTGGAGCTGCAGAGCTGGCTGTTTGGAAGGACTTCTGGGGGCGTGCTGGAGGCGGGGGGACCAGCCAGGGGTCTCCAGGCCTGTTGGGCAGAAGCACTGCGCTGGGGAGACAGAACTCTGTGACTGTGACTGGCCCCGCAGACTTCTTTAGGAGGAGGGCGCCATGCGGGACAGGGAGAATGTTTTCCCTGTTGCTGCTTGGAATTGCTGTCATTTGACCACTGTCTATGGCCCCCTGGGGGGCGGAGGGGGGGGCCTGGCCCGGCCCGCAAGGTCTGAGACTGAGGCTAGCGCTGGAGCCACCCCAGGCCAGGAGCCCCTCCAGGTAGGGCTCCCGTGTGACGCATCTCGGGGTCCCCAGGCCCACTGGCGGCACCCCCTGGTACTCGGAAGGCCTCAGAGAGGATGAAGGGGGCCAGGCTCCCCATCTCATGGAGGAGGAAACCAGGTTCCAGAGAAGGAAGGAACTGTGAACGGAGGCAGTGAGATCCGAGTCTGTTCTGCAGGCGTGAGGCAGGTGTGATCAGAGGTGGTCAGGGAATCTAAGGACGAAAATCAGATCAATACCCTCCTTGGGCTCACATCGCAGAGTAAAAGCAAGGTCACCCTCTTTGTCCCCTCTGTCACCTCACCTCCTACCGTCTCCCCCTTGATCACTTAGTTCCAGCCACCCGGGCCACCTGACAGTGTCACGGACACACAGGCACACCCCTGCCCCAGGGCCTTTGCACTGGCTGCCTGGCGTGCTTCTCTTCCCGACACCCCCCCACACACTCGCTCCTTGCGTCTCCATCAGGTCTTCATTTAAATGCCACATCAGAGAGGCCTTCCCTGCCACCCTAACGTCCCCGCCCCCTGCGTCATCTCTCTCCTTGCCATCTATTTCCATTTAACATACTATATAATTTACTTTTTTATCTTTCTATCTGCCTCCTGGGATTAGAGCAGCTCTTTCCCCTAGAAATGTAATGCAAGGCAAACATGTAATTTAAAAATTTCTAGTAGCCACATTTAATTTAAAAAGTAAAAAGGAACAAGTGATATTAATGTTAATGATACATTTCATTTAACCCAATATATCCAAAATATTATTTCAACGTGTCACCAAGTATCAAAAATACCAATAAGCTATCTTTTTGTCGTACTGTCTTTGAAATCCAGTGTGTGTCTTAGGCTTAGAACCCCATCCGGTTTGGAGTGTCTGTTTCTTTTTTTTTTTTTTTTTTGAGACAGAGTCTCGCTTTGTTGCCCAGGCTAGAGTGAGTGCCGTGGCGTCAGCCTAGCTCACAGCAACCTCAAACTCCTGGGCTCAAGCGATCCTCCTGCCTCAGCCTCCCAAGTAGCTGGGACTACAGGCATGCGCCACCATGCCCGGCTAATATTTTCTATATATATTAGTTGGCCAATTAATTTCTTTCTATTTAGAGTAGAGACGAGGTCTCGCTCTTGCTCAGGCTGGTTTTGAACTCCTGACCTCAAGCAATCCGCCCGCCTCGGCCTCCCAGAGTGCTAGGATTACAGGCGTGAGCCACCGCGCCTGGCCTGGACTGTCTGTTTCGATGCCCAGTAGCTCACACATGGAGTTGACTGCCCCGTCGGACAGCCCAGGGCCAGAATATTGCCAACGCCTAGAGCCAGCCGTGCCTCCTTCACAGCTTGGCTTGTTGAGTGATTGTGGAATGAATGAATGAATGAATGAATGGGTAGAGAGGTGAATGAATGGAATGAGTAAGCCAGGTCTGTTGACCCATTTTGCAGAGGTGTAAAAAGAGACCTGGTGACGGAGGGCAAGGGGCTGCGCGGGGCATTTGGAGTGGGGATGGGGACACTGCGGAGGGGCCCCTCCTGACCTCTGGCTCTCCCCCTTGCAGACCATGGCAGCAGTGACCATGTCGGTGCCGGGGCGGAAGGTGCCCCCCAGGCCGGGCCCAGTGCCCGAAGCGGCCCAGCCGTTCCTGTTCACGCCGCGTGGGCCCAGCATGGGCGGTGGGCCTGGGGGCTCGGGCACCTCCCCGCAGGTGGAGTGGACGGCCCGGCGCCTCGTGTGGGTGCCCTCGGAGCTGCACGGGTTCGAGGCCGCGGCGCTGCGGGACGAGGGCGAGGAGGAGGCCGAGGTGGAGCTGGCGGAGAGCGGCCGGCGGCTGCGGCTGCCCCGGGACCAGATCCAGCGCATGAACCCGCCCAAGTTCAGCAAGGCCGAGGACATGGCGGAGCTGACCTGCCTCAACGAGGCCTCGGTGCTGCACAACCTCCGCGAGCGCTACTACTCGGGCCTCATCTACGTGAGTGGCCGCCCCGGAGGGCCGTGTCCGGGCGGGGGGCGGGGTGCCAGCAGCCCAGCTGAATTAACTCGGGGCTATTTATAGTCTTTATCCCGTGTCTTGTGACTATTCTCATACTTAGTTGCCAAATTAGAAATTGCTGGAATACCAGGACAGACTCAGACCCTTATTGGGGGTGTCACATAATGTAGATGCTATAGATAAACCACATTATTTTCCTAAGGTATAAAAAATTCCAGTTTCTCAAATATTAATATAACTCGTCCCAAGGGTTTAGAGAAAGGGATATGGGCCTGTGACAACAATTGATGAGGACCAACAATTGATGAAAACATGCTAGGCTCTGTGCTGAATGCCTTCCATATATCCATCCATGTAATCTCACCTTAGGCAAGGTAGAGACTATTATTGCTCCCATTTTACGTAAGAGGCAACTGAAGCCCAGAGAGAGAGTTAGTCATGATCAAAATGAGCATTTATTCAAACACTTACTAAGCATTCTTCTAAACTTTCTAAAATACATTGCCTCCATCAGATTTCACAGTTATAAAGCATTTGGTCCCCATTTTGCAGGTAAAGAAACTGAGGCACAGAGAGGTCAAGTTCCTAGACCAAGGTCAACAGATAGACCTGGCCGACCCAGGTAGAGGGCCCCAGGCTTTCCCGCTTTGCTGTGGTGCCTCTCAAGATGAAGAGGGGATTGATGATAGTGAGGTTGGCTATGGTAGTCTCTGCCTCTGTGCTAAGCATGTGATGCCTGTCACATTATTTAATCTTTACAACAAACAGATGGGGCAGAGCGGTGGTTCTTAATCCCAACTTCATGTTAGGATCATCTAGGGAATTCTGAGAAAATACCGACGCCTGAGCCCCACCCCAGACCTTTACATCAGGCTCTCTGGGGGTGTGGCAGAGGCCCTGGTATTTTTAATAAGCTTCCAGGGTGGTTCTAATGGGCAGCCAAGGGGTTGTTAATTCCATTTAACATAAGAGCAAACAGGATTAGAGAGATTGACAAGGAATGTGGACAAGAATAATGAAAAATAATAATAATGGGTGGCTGGCAAATATTTATTGAGCACTTATGACGTGCCAGGTACTGTCGCAAGTACTGCATGTGAGTTATCAGCTCTCTCTGGGCCAGGGACTGTCGATACTGCCCAACACTCAGGAATGTTAAGTGACCCAGGCCCGGGTCACACAGCCGTGAAGGAGTCATGCCGGAATTTGAACCCAGGCAGCTGGCCCCAGACTCACGCTCCAAACTTCAGCTCAGACTGGTGGCGTCTCCCAGCCTTGTCCCAACATCCACCCTGCCGAGGGTCACAAAGCGAAAGACGTCTGACTCCCGTTTGGAGACCGAGGCTCTGGGAGGAGCAGTGGCTGGCTCAGCTTGTGGTGGCAGATGTGGGATTAGAATCGAGGGCCCTGGATGGGGTTGGCACCTATGCTGGCCCCTTCTGAATCCTCACTCACCTCTATGAGCCCCAGGAAAGAGGCCACTGCCTTGGATCTCACCGAAGGCCAGGGATATCAGAGTGATGCCCAAAGTACTGAGCCTCGCTTTGCCTTTTAATAAATAGTCTGGTTCCTTGCAGCGACCTTGTCAAGTGTCTGCTGTCATCCCCATTCTGCAGGGGATGTGAGCCGCAGAGAGGGCGCAGGACTTGGACATAAGCCTCACAGCTAGGATCAGGCTAAGCTGGGATTTGAACCCTGGTCGTTCTGACTACAGACCCCAAGTTCTGGCCACTGCACTAGGAAGATTATTCAGAAAGTTCAGCGGGAAAAAATGGTGGGGACTGAGCTAAAGTGGTGGCCAGGGAGCCAGAGAATTGGGACCTACAAAATGAAAGTGAGATAGAAGATTCTGGAAGCCCAGACAGGAAGCAAATTGGGCCCTAATGATGATCATTAGCACTTGGTGAGTACCTGCCTGCTCTGTTGGCTGCTGTTCTAAACTTCTTCCCAGTATGATCTGTGGGCCCCTCTGCGTCCACACAAGGCTGTGAGGTAGGGATCATGCCTCCTTCCTCCCACAGCTCGGAGGGGACAAGCCACTGGCCCCACAGACGCTGATGATGGCTACTGTATTGAGCATGCGCAGTGTTTCGGGGACCATGTTAAGCCCTGTGCATGACACATGAACTTGTGGATGGCTCCCAGCCACCCTATGTGGGAAGCGCTGTTCCTGTCCCCATTAGATAAGGACAGCGAGACCCAGAAAGTCTGCTTGCCCAAGTCACCCGGCCTGAAGATGTTAGAGGTGTGATCCCAGCCCCACCTGCTTGTCTTAAGATTGGTGCTGAACGCATGGTTCTTAACTGGCCAGCGGGTCTGGGGAAAGCGCGTGTTGCCCAGTGGAAAGTGTTGTGTGTCCCAGACACCAAACTCCCAGTTTCTGCCGCTGATAGGCTGTGTGGCCTCGGGTTGCTCGCAGGGTCTCAGTCCCTTTGCTGGGACGCTTGGGCAGGGAGGGAGCCCGTTTGGGAGCACCCTGCCCTGCGAGGCGCTGCAAGATGCATCGTGGCATCTCATGCCAAGAACCCTTCCAGGTGACAGGGCTTGAAAGCCCCATTTTCCAGGGCTGGAAAACTGAGGCTCAGAGAGGGCAAATCTTTTGTTCAAAGCCACACACAGAAAATGCCTCGTCGGAATTTGAACCCAGGGTTTTGTGGCTTCAAGGCCTGATGGAGCCCTTGGCTCCCAGGTGGGTCGGGTAACGTGAGCGTCTCAGGAGCCACATTAGCCATTATTGTGTGGGCCCCGCCCTGGCCTGGCCTGTTCTTATTCATTATCTCCCTTAATCCCCGCAGCGTTTGTGATGAGGTGGGGAGTGTCCTCCCCGGTTTCCCAGGGAGGAAACCGAGATGATGGAGAAAGTCACTGGACAGAGGACAGCTGGGGGCAGGTCTGTCTTCAGGGCCCCCGAGGACAGGGGCAGGCCTTCTAGAACCTTCTAACTCAGGTGTCCCGGACCCTCTCTGGTCGCACCAGCCTCTGCCTTTTGCTCCCCTGGCCGCCTTGGCCAGCTCAGGTTCCCGTTGCCAGGGTGTTGCCTTGGCAACAAGGTGTGGTCGCAGGAGGGGCCTGGGGTGGGGGGTGGCGTGGGGAGTGGGTTCCCCCGCCAGCCAGCAGTGGGGCCCGGGCGCCAGCAGCCATGAGATACCCTCCCAGGGAATGCGGTCCGGCCGCCCCGCCCTCCCAGAGCAGGGAGCTCCCGGCAGCAGCCCTTCCAGGCGGGGCGGGCAGACACCCAGCAAACCGGTTGTTCTGCTCCTGGCCGGCCACCCAGCCTCCCACCCGTTAGAAGGTTGGCACCTGGGACTGGGCAGCCTGTGGCGGCCACACCCTGCTCTTCTGGAGAAGCCCAAGTGTGTGGGAGCTTATGGCAGTCCTGTAGCTAACTAGCTAAGCAACCAGCTTGCTAGCCAAGTAGCTAACTGATTCAATAGTTAGCTAGCTAAGCCACTAAACAGCTAACTCTCTGGCTAGTTTAGCTAGCGAACTCTAGGTGGTGTGGCTAGTTCGCTCTCTGGCTGGTTTAGCTAAACGGTTAGAAAGCTCCCTAACTGTCTAACTGCTCAGGTGTGTGCAGAATACCTCCTGCCTACCTGATACCCCCATGAGCAAGAGCAGTTCTTTTTTGGTTTTTTGAGACAGAGTCTCACTCTGTTGCCCAGGCTAGAGTGAGTGCCCTGGCGTCAGCCTAGCTCACAGCAACCTCAATCTCCGGGGCTCAAGCAATCCTCCTGCCTCAGCCTCCCGAGTAGCTGGGACTACAGGCATGTGTCTCCATGCCTGGCTAATTTTTCCTATATATTTTTAGTTGGCCAATTGATTTGTTTCTATTTATAATAGAGACAGGGTCTCACTCTTGCTCAGGCTGGTTTCGAACTCCTGACCTCGAGCAGTCTGCCTCCCAGAGTGCTAGGATTACAGGCTCGAGCCACTTTGCCCGGCCAAGAGCAGTTCTTAACCCTTTGCACTCGCTTGCTTTTTTCTCGATTCCTTTATTCTACTCAGGATTTAATTTTTTAAATACCCCAGATCTTACAAAGCGCGGCAGTAGAATAAAAAACTGGAGTTTCTTTTCATACAAACTTATTTATTTGGATTTTTTTTATATTTCAAATTATTGATACATTCAAAGAGTAATTTTAATCTCTATAATTTTTGCTAACTGTGTCGAGTCACACTCGACATCGGAGTACAAAGGGTTCCTAGTACAAACGGTTAAACCATTATAGAGTCCTGAATCCAGCCCTAAAGGGTCCATGGGTGGAATTCATGGGATCCCTGAACTTGAATGCAAAAAAAAAAAAAAAAAAAAAATTACATCTTTAATTTCATGCACCTTGAACCTGAAATTTAGCATTTCCTCCACCGAGAATGCACCACTCAGCACGGGCACGTAAGCAGGACAGTTATATGACTGGGGTCAGCAGAAACCACAGATACGTGCCTACCGTGTTTCATGCTGCACGTACCACAGCACCTCTCCAGAGATAGCCCAGGCGAATTCAAGCGAATACGTAACATTCCTCTTTCACCCCTTTCAATGCAAGTGCATACACGGTTCTCAACTCGTTTCCATTCACTTGGTAATATTTTGGAGATAGTCCCACATGTGCAGTGCACAACCTGCCCAGCTGTACACAGCAGCCCCATGATGCCTTTCCACCTGTGGGCAGGCAGCTGAGACCCTCTCCCCTCTCGCCCACTGTAGACATATTCTGGACTTTTCTGTGTGGTCATCAACCCGTACAAGCAGCTTCCCATCTACACAGAGGCCGTGTGGGACTATCCATGGCTATCCCTGACAGCGTCATAGGAATCCATTGTTTGAACGTGCATTCAGGTCGTTTCTAGTCTTTTGCTGCTACAAAGAATGCTTCAACAGATGACTTGCACCTGGTCATTTCATGTGCGTGTGAGTCCGGGTGGCCACAGGCTGTAACTCAAGTCTGGCTGGCTGCAAAGTCCATGGTTTCTCTCAGGGTAAATCTTCATCATGTAACACCTTTGTACAATAAGGAAAGATCCTTATATTCAAATCTACATTGTTATGGTGTAGACAGAGCATGTGCAGATAACCCTTGTGCAGTGCACAACCTGCCCAGCTGTACACAGCAGCCCCACGGTGCGTTTCGATCTGTGGGCAGGCAGCTGAGACCCTCTCCCCTCTCGCCCACCACAGACGTACTCCGGACTCTTCTGTGTGGTCATCAACCCGTACAAGCAGCTTCCCATCTACACAGAGGCCATTGTGGAGATGTACCGGGGCAAGAAGCGCCATGAGGTGCCGCCTCACGTGTATGCAGTGACCGAGGGGGCCTACCGAAGCATGCTCCAGGGTGAGTGCTGTGCTGGGACTTCCAGCGGGGGCCTGGCCAGATGCCGCCGGGAGCCAGGGACAGGGTCAGACCGCAGCGTGGGGGATTTCAGACTTCGCGAGACTTTTCGGGAGGCCGGAGGGAACACAAATAGAGGGCCGAGTGAGTGAGGCTGTACGTCCGAGAGCCTCGTTATCTGTCTCTGTTCACCCCTTCTCTCAACAATATTTGGGAGCCACTTCTGCTGGGCTTATGCAAAAAATTTCTCTTGAGACAAGAGTGTTCATTCATTCAACATTTATCGTTGGTGGTAGACGTGATCTACGTTGTCATGGGGTAAGATGTCGCCCCTTAGACGGAGGGATGGCAGCACCAGGCCGTTGTGTACAGCTGAGCAGGTTGCACACTGCACAAGGGCATCCGTCCAAGGGTGACACTCACACCGCAACAATGTAGATCAGTCCTGGAAAAACTACATAATCAACATCCGCAATAAACACAATGTACTTGATACATATTTGTTATATATCATCTATTTTCATAGATATTTAGCGTATACCAAATATATATTAAACTTTTACAACTTTATATCATAACGTAATAGTACATAGCAATATATTTATATTGAATATATACTTATTTAATATATGCTGTGTTTCTGTTGTGTCTTATGTTTATATCATATAACGCAGTGGCTCTCAGAGTGTGATCTCATTGGTGGCATCACGTCACCTGGGAACTGGTTAGAAGTGCAGACTTGGGCCGTGCCTCAGGCCTGCTGGGTCACACGCTCCGGGGCAGGGCTCGGCAATCAGTGTCTTTACAAGATCCCCACGACAATCCTGATGCTCAAGTCTGAGAACCTCTGGTCCAACATGCAATATATAATATACCTGCATTCCGTAATAGAACATGCTAACAGATAATGCATTTACATTCTCATTATAAACTTGTGTACAGTAATAGGTAAAAGTGACATAATTTGATTGTATAATTCGTTACATATTTTTATAATTTTTAGCTATTATCATCTGCTAGCTATTATTATATCTTAGGAATAAATGTACAATAAGGTAAAGGTGAGTTCTGCTCAGTGCCAGGAATTTTTCATGGATTCGATTCTGTTGCGATTTCGTGTGTTAGCATAAGTATGTTGTTTGGTCTCTACGTATTTTGGGATTTTCCAGTTATCTTTGTTATTTTATTTATTTATTTTTTTGAGACAGAGTCTCTCTTTGTTGCCCAGGCTAGAGTGAGTGCCGTGGCGTCAGCCTAGCTCACAGCAACCTCAAACTCCTGGGCTCAAGCGATCCTCCTGCCTCAGCCTCCTGAGTAGCTGGGACTACAGGCATGCGCCACCATGCCCGTCTAATTTTTGCTATATATTTTTAGTCGGCCAATTAATTTCCTTCTGTTTTTTGGTTTTTTTTTTTAGTAGAGATGGGGTCTTGCTCTTGGTCAGGCTGGTTTCAAACTCCTGACCTTGAGCAATCCGCCCGCCTCGGACTCCCAGAATGCTAGGTAGGATTACAGGCGTGAGCCACCGGGCCCAGCCTATCTTTGTTAGTGATTTCTGGGTTAGTCCCACTGTGGTCTGAGACTGGACATTGTATGATTTCTAGTCTTTTAAATTCGTCAAGGTGTGTTTTGTGGCCTGGGACGTGGTCCCTCTTGGTGAATGTCCCGTGAGAACTTAAGCAGAAGGTGGGCTCCGCTGTCACTGGATAAAATGGTCACTAGGTGTCAGTTGTCTCTGGCTGGCTCACAGTGGGGTCGAGCTCAGCTGAGGCCTCACTGATTTCTCCCTGCCGGACGCGCCTGTCTCTGATGGCCAGTGTTGCAGTCTCCAACTAGAATAGCAGATTCGTCTATTTCTCCTGGCAGTTTTGTCCGTTTTTGTTGGATTAACTCATTTAACCTCATAGCAACTCTATGAAATAGGTTCTCCCATTACCCTGCTTTCCGGCAGGGGAAACTGAGGCACGGAGCAAAGCAGTCATCACCTGTGGTCACACTAGTGGGTGGGTGGGCCGAACGTTCTCCTGAGTTCTGACCACAGCCCTGTGGGGTGGTGGCTATTTTGAGCCCCACTTTTCAGATGTGAAAACGGAGGCACAGAGAGACTCGGGGACCGTCCCCGGGTCACTCAGCCAGGCAGGGGCAGCTGGGCCTCGAGCCCCAGTGCATACGGCCCCAGCCCGGGTCCTGCCGAATGCAGCTCACCTCCCGGCTAAAGCCACCCCGAGGACTCCCGCCCCTGCTTAAAAAACATTCAGACCCTGTGATCGTGGCTTCAAAACCCGCCTGTGCCCCTTGCCATCTCTGTCCCCTCCCCCAGCCTCACTGGCCTTCCTGTCTCTCAAATGTCCCCAACTCGCTCTGACCCCAGGGCCTTTGCCCCGACTGTGCCCTCTGCCTGAGATGTCACCTCTCCTGCCAAGCCCTCCCTCCCTCCTGCCCCCCAGGTCACGTCTCATGAATACCAGGCTCCTCAGTCCCGGCTCTGTGGGCATCTGGGGTGAGATGACTCTTTGTTGCGGGGGACTGTCCCCTACGTTGCAGGATGTTCAGCAGCATCCCTGGGCGCTAACCACGCAGTGCCAGTAGAGCCCCTCTCCCTGGCTGTGACAACCAGAAATGCCTTCCGGCGCTGCCACCAGCCCCTGGGGGCAGCAGAGGACAAAATCGCCCCTGGTTGAGAGCCATCACTTTATGCTGTTACCTGTTTAGCTGTCCCCTGCCCCCGTGCCAATCGCTGCTAAGTCGTCCTAAGTCCTCATTTGTGTGGTTTTTGTCCCCCCTTCTGTGCCCGGTGCTTAGCAGCTGGGAGGCTGCATCTCTGGAATGGTTGTGTCAGGCCCAAGGTGGGCGCTGGGGGAGATGTCTTGTATCTGGGGTCAACCCTGGGGTCTGGGACCTCGCTCTGTTGTCTGAATCTCGCGTGGCCGGCATGAGGCAGCACACAGCATGGTCTCCAATTGTGGTGTTAAATAGACTGTGTTCTGTTAAGTTGGGGTTGACGGTCTCTATTCTATAGGTGAAGAAAAACCAAGGATCAGAGAGGGATAGCTGTTTTCCCAGGGTCACACAGCAAGCAAGGGGCTGAGTTGGGTGGGATATTAGAACCCAGGAGTGTCACAGATCAAAAGTAAACCCTTCCTCACTCCTTGGGAATCATTTTGAAAAGACAGTGGCTAGTGTAAGGGGTCAGAGGGTCCTGCTGGAGAGACTGTCTCAGGTGACGTGTCCCTTCTTGTCCCTACAGATCGTGAGGATCAGTCCATTCTCTGCACGTGAGTAATCCGGAAGGACTTGCTGGAGGGGGAGGGGTCCCGGCTGGGCGTGGCTCTGTTTGGAAGGGCAGGGGGCTTCCCTGGCGTCACTGCCAACCCCCTTCGCTTCCCCTTGTCCCCCCACAGCGGGGAGTCTGGGGCCGGGAAGACGGAGAACACCAAGAAGGTCATCCAGTACCTCGCCCACGTGGCATCGTCGCCGAAGGGCAGGAAGGAGCCGGGCGTCCCCGTAAGCGACCCGGCCTTGGCACACCCCTGGGCCCCGCCACAGCCACGTCCCCTCCGTCTCGGGCTCTGCTCCCCCGTAACTGCCTGCCTCCTCCACAGGGGCCATGGCTGGTGCGGGGCCTTCCCTGGCCGCCCGTGCCGCCTGAGCACCTACTGTGTGCCCGGGCTGGGGCCGGGAGCAGAGGCAGGGCAGATGCACAGTCGCAAGGGCCAGTGTTAGCCTCGTTGGCTCTCGGAACAGCACCTGGCACTTAGTAGGTGTTTTATTTTCTGAGCACCTACTATGCGTCAGGCCTGATTTTAGGTGACCAGGATGCGTGGGTTTGTCATCTAAGTGAACAATACACAGTGCTCCCCATGTTCCGAGCCCTTTGCTCACATCACCTCACTTAACGCCCCAGTGAGCTGGGTGCTGCTGTCCCGTGTTGCAGACGAGGGACCGCAGGCACAGGGTGGGGGCGAGTCAGTTGGTCACCTGCCCTGGGAGGGCTAGAGCGGGGTCCAAAGCCAGGCATGTGGTCCCCCCGGCCACCCCACTCCGCACACCCTGTTCCCCTAACCCCCTGCCCCCGTACCCCACCACTGCCCGAGGCCACCGGTTCACCTGTGTGTCTGTCCACGTTCCATGTGCTGTGTCCTGGTCCGTGTCTCGTGTCCTGTGACTTCCTCAGGCCTCCGCCAGCACCATGTCTTACGTGAGTAGCAGGGACTCACCTCGAGTCTTGCCGCCCCTCACGCTGCCCCGGCCGCCCGGCCCGTGGCCTTCCTGGTAGACGGCCCAAGGCAGCCATGGCGACACCTGCCAGGGACTCCCACTGCCACGACGGTGGCCCTGCTGTGTGTGTGCAGACGGGCCACAGATATCAACATGAAATGACCCAGGGACCAAAACTGCCGTTTACTACCAATCTACCGAATGTGTCTAGCCGGGCCCACGGGCTCTGGGCACCCACACGCCCAGGGAGCTGGCAGCCAAGCCACGTGCCCTTCACCTTGCATATATTTTTTCATTTGACAAAGCCATCCGCCTAGCTGAGACTGTTTCATCCTAACACCAGCTAGACGTAGCCTGAGAGAAGGTACACACAGGCTGCTATTTATTGAGCACCTACTGTGTGCCTGGCTCTACATCGAGGGGGCTGGAGAGAAGTTCGGAGTAAGGTTCCTACCATGGGGCAGCCTGGTGGGGGAAGGAAACCACCATTCTTGATGGCCAACTATGTGCCAGACAGTTTGAAGCACTTTATATACAAGAGGACAGATTTTTCCCTTAATTAAAAATTCTACCAGGAATACAGGAGTCCATATTCACTGTAACAACAGCAAATCAGACAAATTGACATCCATCTTTCCTCCTCCCAGTCCCCTTCCTTGGAGTGGCTTACACTGTTGACAGTCTGGTGCACATCCTTGCAGACCTTTCTCCGTATGTTCACAAACATGTATATGTCTGTAGAACTAACAGTCTTGTTTTGTGGTGGTGTTTCCTTAATTTATTTTTTACTGATGGGATCACATTGCAGGTGTTATTCTGCAACTTTTTTTTTCTTTGTTTGGTTTGATTTCTATTCAACAATATGTCTTGGAGATATTTCCCTGTTCGGCTCACAATAGATGGGCAGGCAAGACCCGGATGTGGGAATTGGGCACACACCCAGACACACAAAGGCCCCTCACACACAGACAGGCAGCCACTGGAGACACAGCCCCCAGCTGGGCCCGCCTCCCTGAGGTCCTTACTGACGCCCCCTCTACCCCGGGCAGGGGGAGCTGGAGCGGCAGCTGCTTCAGGCCAACCCCATCCTGGAGGCCTTCGGCAACGCCAAGACGGTGAAGAATGACAACTCCTCCCGATTTGTGAGTGCTGCGGGAGGGCAGTGCCTGGCTGTGTCCGGGTTATAGGAGCCGGGCGTGTAGGGGTGGGTGGGTGGGGCAAAACATATGGGTCTGGGGAGGAGGGGCTGGGGCTGGACCCCCAAGTCTGGGGAGGAGGGGCTTGGGCTGGACCCCGGGGTCTGAGGGAGGAGGGGCTGGGGACATGGACCCCTGGGTCTGGGGGAGGAGGGGCTGGGGACATGGACCCCTGGGTCTGAGGGAGGAGGGGCTGGGGACATGGACCCTGGGTCTGGGGAGGAGGGGCTGGGGACAGGACCCTGGGTCTGGGGAGGAGGGCCTGGGGGCCTGGACCCCCGGGTCTGGGGAGGAGGGGCTGGGGACATGGACCCCTGGGTCTGAGGTAGGAGGGGCTGGGGACATGGACCCCTGGGTCTAAGGGAGGAGGGGCTGGGGACATGGACCCTGGGTCTGGGGACGAGGGGCTGGGGACAGGACCCTGGGTCTGGGGAGGAGGGGCTGGGGACAGGACCCTGGGTCTGGGGAGGAGGGGCTGGGGACAGGACCCTGGGTCTGGGGAGGAGGGCCTGGGGGCCTGGACCCCTGGGTCTGGGGAGGAGGGGCTGGGGACAGGACCCTGGGTCTGGGGAGGAGGGGCTGGGGACATGGACCCCTGGGACTGAGGGAGGAGGGGCTGGGGACATGGACCCCTGGGTCTGAGGGAGGAGGGGCTGGGGACATGGACCCCTGGGTCTGGGGAGGAGGGGCTGGGGACATGGACCCCTGGGTCTGAGGGAGGAGGGGCTGGGGACATGGACCCCTGGGTCTGGGGAGGAGGGGCTGGGGACATGAACCCTGGGTCTGGGGAGGAGGGGCTGGGGACATGGACCCTGGGTCTGGGGAGGAGGGGCTGGGGACATGAACCCTGGGTCTGGGGAGGAGGGGCTGGGGACCAGGGCCCTGAGGAAAGACGTCAGATTGCCCAGGGAGCCCCTCTCTGGGGACTCAGGCTTGGGTGGGGTTCGGGTAGTGGGAGAGAGTGGGCGAGGCAGCCCCGGCACTGGGTGGGAGTGGGGAGGTTTGGGGTGCTCTTCAGGGCCGAGGGGACAAGTTCTCGCTCCGAAGCCCCCTTCTGCCGTCCCTCCCAGGGCAAATTCATCCGCATCAACTTCGACGTTGCCGGCTACATCGTGGGCGCCAACATCGAGACCTGTATCCTTGCGCAGCGGGGGGAGGGGCGCCCAGGAGGACAGGGGGCGGCCGGGGAGGGTGGCCCTCTGGACAGCACCCTTACAGGACGCAGGCTCCACTGCTGGGGACCCACGACCGCTGCTCGGTGGGGCGCGGCCGCTCAGATGCGGCGTCTGCAGGGGGAGGGAGGGGCGCAGGGCCACCGTGTCTCTATAAGGCCGGCACAGCCTTGCTGCGGGGGGCGGTCGGGGTCCCCAAGACCACCAGGCTCAGTGACCCGCCAGGGGGACTCCAGGCCTCGGCCTTCAGTGGCTCGTGGAGGTGACGCACGATGGTGACAGTGTGGGGAGCGTGGCCGGCGAAGGGAACAGGTGCAGGGCTTGATGGGGGAGGGGGACCAGCACGAGCTTCCAGAATCCTCCCCAGTGGAGTCGCGCAGGTCAAGCTTAACCCCCAGCAACGAGGTGTGGCGACACTTGTGGAACGTTGCCATCGGGGAAGCTCGTCAGAGGCTCGGTGTCGGGGATTTTATTGGGGGTGGCGGTGCCACGTGGCCCCGTGGCCCCGTCTGCTTGGTGTGTGCCAGAATCCCGACTCCCAGGAGGAAAGCAGGTGTTCGGCGGCGACTGCAGTGTTCGCAGCGAACCGTTTAGGCCTCGCGGACCCCTCACGTCCGTCAGGGAATGCCGGGGCCCGGGAAACCCAGGTCCCCAGACCCCAGCCAGGGCCCCCCTGAAACCCAGGTCCCCAGACCCCAGCCAGGGCCCCCTAGCCTGCAGGGCAGCGTTCGCTCTCCCGTGGGGGTTTAGAGGAATTTAAATGGTAAAGCGCAGGCGCTCCAGGAGCGCAAACATCAGAGAATGGGCCGAGACATGACTGTAACCGGGGTTCGAATCCCAGCTCTGCCGCTTCGAGGCTGTGGCACCCTGGGCGCGAGATTTGACGACTGTGTCTCAGTTTCTCTGTCCGTGGAAGGAGAAGGAGCACAGACCCCTCGGGGACATCCGGGAAGCTCACTGTCCCCGCGATCCCAGGGAGGGTTTCTCAAAGCCGACTTAGGGCACGAGGCCCCGTGGGTCCTGCTGCCCCCCCCCCCCACCCACGTCCTCGGCTCTCACCGGCCCGGCCCCACGGCCACTGCCGCCTGCTCAGGGCTCCTCCTCGCTCGGGTCCTCTTACCCCGCAGCTCCTGCCGCCTCCAGTCTCCTGCTTACCCAGTTGTCAGAGCTCGTGGCTCTCCCTGCCACGCTGTCCTGCCTCTCGGGCCCACATCTGTCCCCTCTGCCACTTCCCCTTGCGCACGGTCTCCCGCCCACGCGCCCCGTCCGGCGTGGCGGCCCCGCTGGGCATAGCTCTCTGCTCAGCTGTCTCAGGCACCGGTGCAGCCTGTCCCTTTAGCGCCAGGGCGGGCACCGTGACCGGCGCTGCTTGAGCGCTGACTGTGAGCCGCCACCGCGCGACGAGGGGCTCCGGGGACGGCCTCGGGCTGCGGCTGCCGCCTGCGGGTGTGTGGACACGGGGCCAGACTCGGTGCCCAGTGCACGGTGCCCGCCGTACTCTGAGACGTCTGGACGCGTTTTAGTGCGTAAACGTGCCGCATGACCTTAGAGAAGGGGGGCATGCAGGGTGGCGGTCTAGTTGGAGATGGGAGCAGATATATTCGAATGGGGAAACTGAGGCTAGAATGATAATGATCAGAGACATTCTCATCCATGGTTTCCTATGGGCCAGGCACTGTTCCCGGAGCTTCACGCATAGTAAGTCATCTACCCTCACAGCAACTCAACAAGGGGTGCAACAGATGGGGAAACTGAGGCACGAGTACTTAAGTGGCGTGCCCAAGGCCACTCATCCAGTTAGTGGCAAGTCGCCAGCCTGGGCTGGGAAGGACCCGCTGCTCCCAGGGGCGGGGTGGGAGGTGCAGCACAGGTGGGTGGCCTGGAGCGTGGGGGGCTCAAGTGGGGTCCCCTACCTTCCCGTCTGGCACCTTGACTCGCCTCCACCAGACCTGCTGGAGAAGTCGCGGGCCATCCGCCAGGCCAAGGACGAGTGCAGCTTCCACATCTTCTACCAGCTGCTCGGGGGCGCCGGCGAGCAGCTCAAGGGTCAGTGCTGCCCGCCGGCCTGCTCCTGGCCCCCCGGGAGGGAGGAAGCAGGGCACTGCATTTGCCAGGCACCTCCTTTACGCGTGGCTTCCACGGCCTCTGGCTCTCGCTGTGTAGTGGCTTCTGTCGCCTCCCAGCTTCTGTCGCGAGGGGGTCCCGCTGCCCTCTGGTTCCAGCTCTCTGCGGGCTCCGGCCCACGCCCGCTGTCACAGCCGCCTCATGGCTCCTGCTCTCGCTCACTTCCGAAGCTCCGGGCTCCGTGTGCTGCGGCTCCTCTCTCTCGTGGCCTCTCCTCCCTCCTGCCGGGTCACCAGGACTCCGGCCTTGCTGTGGCTCCCGCTGCCTCCTGGCTCCTGACGTCCCGGTGTGTGCGGCTTCTGGCTCCCGCTGTCTCCTGCTCCCTCGGTCTCCTGTCCCTGCCCTGCCCCTCCTGCCCGCTGCCACCCAGACTCCTAGGGCTCTTGCTCCCAGCACGGTCCGCGCCCTGGGGCTCCCCCCACTCTGGCTCCCCCCCCAGCAAGTGCCACCTCCTGGCTCCGGCTCCCCGCCCCGCCCCCCACTCACTGCGGCCTTGGCCTCGCAGCCACCCGTGCTCTGGCCCTGCCATCCCCCGGCCCCGGCCTGCCTCGGGCAGTTCCCTGACATGACAGCCCTGAAGAAGGAAGAGAGAGGGAAGGGCTGTTAGGTGCTAAGCGCCTACTGCATGCCCGGCCCTTCCCGCCACACCCACGAGGGGGACGTGGCTCCTCCCGGGGTCGCCGTGGATGAATCCGCGATGTGAGTCTGACTCCACGGCTCCCCCTCGACCTTGACCCCTCCGCGTTGCCCCCGCAGCCGACCTGCTCCTGGAGCCCAGCTCCCACTGCCGCTTCCTGACCCACGGCCCGCCGCCCGCCCCCAGCCAGGAGCGGGAGCTCTTCCAGGAGACGCTGGAGTCCCTGCGGGTCCTGGGATTCACCCACGAGGAGATCACCTGTGAGTGGGCCGGGCGGGGCGCCGCTCGCGGACGCGGCCGTTCGCGCGTCGGTTTGCGGGGTGTTTACTGAGCACCTGCTGTGTGCAGACGCTGGGGTTCCAAGGGGTTTCTGCAGTTTCGGTGAGGGAAGGATTGAGCAGGGAACGAGACTCACCCACGAGAGGGAAACCCCAACCAAAGCAGTGAGCAATGACACAGCCGACGAGGAAAGTAAAGCAGGGCCGGGGAGGGAGGGGCACGGCCTTCAGCAGAGGAGGCAGAGAGGGGTGTCCTGAGATGCAGATATTTGAGCAGAGGCCTGGAGGAGGTGAGGCCGGGGACTGGGGATGCTGGGGAAGAGCGTGCTGGGCACAGGGAACAGCCTGTGCAAAGGCCCTGGGGCGGGAAAGGTGTGGCGTGTTAAGGGGTTGAGACTTCTGGAGAGCTGCACAGGCAGGCCGGGTCTCAAACGCCAGCCTCAGGGGCTGGGACTTTGTCCTGGGGGTGCTGGCAGCTGTGGGAGGGCTGGGAACAGAAAGACCCCCGGGGGCCGTGGGAGGGACATACTGGAGAGGCTAAGCCGGAGGGGCTGCTGAGGGTCCAGCGAAGGCGCAGGGCAAATGCTCAGCTCGCACCCCGCCCTGGGGATCTCCTCCCACCTTGGTGGCCAAGCAGCAGGTGCGACGGTGGCTGTGTCCCCGTGCCGTGTTAGTTGCTCGGGCTACCATAACGCAGCACCGCCACCGAGAGCCTGAAACAGGAAATGGGCCGTCCCTTCGTTCTGGGGCCGGAAGTCCAGGGCCGGTTCATCCCAGGAGAATCTGTCCCGTGCGTGTCCCCTGGCTCTGGGCAGTTTCCCAGCAATCTCTGGCGTTGCGTGGCTTGTAGACTTCTCCCCATCTCTGTCTTCACCTTGACGTGGCGTCTCCCCGTGTGCGTCTGTGTCCCCAACCCCCTTCTCCTGAGGACACCAGCCACAGTGGAACAGGGGCTCGCCGCCCTCCGCACGGCGTCACCTTAACTTTTACGTGTGCAGTGGCCCTGTCTCCAGAACGGTCACATTCTGAGGTCCCGGGGCTTAGGGCTTCGGCACGTCTTTGTGGCAGGGCGCCATGTGGACACGATTCAACCTGTAACAAATACGCACAGATGGACCTCGGTCTTTTTCGGGGCTGCGTAATGTTTTGTTGTTTGGACAAACATACGATGCTTCTCGTCGAGCCCTCCAAAGCAAGGCCCTTAGGTGGCTTCCGGGGCTGAGCCGGGGCTGAGTCTTCTCTGGCCCCTGGCACCATGGGAGGCCGCGGAGCTATTGTTGGCACCAGGGCCAAGTGGGAAGGGCCGAGAAGGGAGCGCTGGGCTTGGCCTCCTACCAAGGCTGCAGACAGCCCGGCCTCTGCGACACAGGGTCTCCGGCCTCCCCGCCCCCACCCTGCCGGATTTCCCAACCGCGGTTTCGTAATCCCCCAGCCTGCCTGACTCCTCTACGGCTGGGCAGCTGGCAAACAAACTCAGGTCTAGGCCACAGTTGGGGGCCTGGCCTGTCCCTTTAGGTCCTGCTTGGCCTCTCGACGTGGGCAGCTCACGTGGCCTTCCCGGTGGCTGCCCTGCCTGGCAGTGGCCAGACACGCAGCTCTGGTTTTTGCAATTCAGACATAAAAATAATATGCGACTGATGCATCTAATGACATAACTTGAACGTGGCCAAAGGTCTCGCTGAGAAAACCAAGTCTCCCCCCACTCCCAGGGCCCTGGTTTCCCGCTGTTAAGCTTCCTGTGTCTCCTTCCAGAAATATTTTACAAAGAACAGGTATCTTAAGAAAAGATGCATATTATTTTTCTATAAAAGGAGGCATCCTCTAGCTCTGGGACTAATGTTCAGCCATGAACATCACCTTAGTAATAAAAATGGGAAATCATTTCTCTACCAATTTAAAAGTTCCTGGCCGGGCACAGTGGCTCACGCCTGTAATCCTAGCTCTCTGGGAGGCCGAGGCGGGCGGATTGCTCGAGGTCAGGAGTTCGAAACCAACCTGAGCAAGAGTGAGACCCTGTCTCTACTAAAAATAGAAAGAAATTAATTGCCCAACTAAAAATATATAGAAAAAAAATTAGCCGGGCATGGTGGAACATGCCTGTGGTCCCAGCTACTAGGGAGGCTGAGGCAGGAGGATCGCTTGAGCCCAGGAGTTTGAGGTTGCTGTGAGCTAGGCTGACGCCACGGCACTCACTCTAGCCTGGGCAACAAAGCGAGACTCTGTCTCAAAAAAAAAAAAGAAAAAAAATGTTCCTAGATGTTGGTCACTGTAGGCGGTCCCCTCGGCTCCCTGACCTGCCACCGGGACCCCTGGACTCTGGCCGAGGTAGGTCTGGGCTGGGCAATGCTGGCATTAGACACTCAGCTCCTCCCTCCCACCATCGGGTGCTCTGTCCCCACCGCTGTCCCGCCAAGCCGTATGTTTTGGCCACAGCTCTGCTCCAGTGCGTATAGAGGGACCGCAGTCCTTTTTGCAGCCGTGCAACGTTTCGTTGTTTAGATAAACTACGATCCTTCAACCAATTCCTTGCAGACAGACTCTTAGGTTGTTTCTGTTCCATTGCTCTTAGATGATTAAAAAAAAGCTGCCGTGAATATCCTTGTAGGTAGGTCCTCGTGCTCGTGCGTGAACAGGTCTGTAGGATCAATTCTTAGAAATAAAATGCTGAGTGCGAGGAGATGTGCAATTTTTGGTTTTATCAAGCTTAAAAAAGTTTAACAGCTTTGTTTGAGATATCATTCACATATCATACCATTCACCTATTTAGAATGTGCAATTCGGTAACTTTTAGCGTATTCACGGAGTTATGCATTGGCCTCTGCAGGCAATTTTAAGACATTTTCGGTAGCTCAAGAGTCCATCACCCCGAGTCCCTGCCCCCAGCCCCTCGTACCCACTAACCTGCTTTCCGCCTCTGTGGACATTTCATGTACGTGAAATCGTGCAATATGTGGTCCTTTGTGATGGGCTGTTTTCACTCCGAATCATGTGTTCAAGGTTTACCCATGTTGTAGCATGTATTCGTGCTTCATTTTTATTGTTGAATAATTTTGATGTTTATCTTTTTATTATGGAAAATTGCAGACATCTATGCAAACAGAGAGCAGAGTGTAATGAACCCCCGGGCACCTGTCACCAGCTCCAACAATTTTGACTTTGTGGCCTCTCGTGTTTCATTTCTGTCCCCACCTCCAGCCCCTCCCCAACTCAGGAGTGAGCAGTATTTAAATTGCAGAGAAGGGCCAGCGCGGTGGCTCACGCCTGTAATCCTAACACTCTGGGAGGCCGAGGCGGGAGGATTGCTCGAGGTCAGGAGTTCGAAACCAGCCTGAGCAAGAGTGAGACCCCGTCTCTAATACAAGTAGAAATAAATTAATTGGCCAACTAAAAATACATAGAAAAAATTAGCCGAGCATGGAGACGCATGCCTGTGGTTCCCAGCTACTTGGGAGGCTGAGGCAGGATTGCTTAAGGCCAGGAGTTTGAGGTTGCTGTGAGGCTGATGCCATGGCACTCTAGCCCAGGCAACAGAGTGAGATTCTGTCTCAAAAAAAAAAAATATGTATATATATATAAATTGTAGAGTAGGCCAGGTATGATGGCTCACATCTGTAATCCCAGAACTTTAGGAGGCTGAGGTGGGAGGATCGCTTGGGCCAGGAGCTCGAGTCCAGCCTGGGTAACATAATGAGACTCAGTCTCAACAAAAATTTTAAAAGCTTAGCCAGGCGTGGTAGTGCACTCCTGTAGTCCCAGCTACTCGGGAGGCTGAGGCAGGCGAATTGCTTGAGCCCAGGAGTTCGAGGTTGCTGTGAGCTCTGATCACACCACTGCACTCCAGCCTGGGCGACAGAGTGAGACCCTGTCTCAAAAAAAGAAATTTTTTGGCCGGGTGCGGTGGCTCACGCCTGTAATCCTAGCTCTCTGGGAGGCCGAGGCGGGCGGATTGCTCGAGGTCAGGAGTTCGAAACCAGCCTGAGCAAGAGCGAGACCCCGTCTCTACTATAAATAGAAAGAAATTAATTGGCCAACTAATATATACAAAAAATTAGCCGGGCATGGTGGCGCATGCCTGTAGTCCCAGCTACTTGGGAGGCTGAGGCAGGAGGATCCCTTGAGCCCAGTAGTTTGAGGTTGCTGTGAGCTAGGCTGACGCCACGGCACTCACTCTAGCCTGGGCAACAAAGCGAGACTCTGTCTCAAAAAAAAAAAAAAAAAGAAATTTTTTAAATAAAAAAATGAAAATAAATCTGTACAAATTGACCCTGTCACCATCCGTAGGGTGGCGCTAGTTTCCAGTTCTGCCAACCATATACCCGGAGTGCCTGTGTCCCTACATCCGTGCCAGCCACCGTGGTTGTGGCTTCTTTGCATTTGCTGATGTGGAAGATAGATGTGATCTCATTACAGTTTTATTTTGTGTTTCACCTACAAGGAGTGGAGACAGTCCCCTTTTCATAGGCTCGCCATTTGACAGAAGAAGAGGCAGAGGGTCAGGGAGGTGGGGGTGTCCTACCTTAGAACTCAAAGAGGAGGAAGCAGAGCCATGGTGGAATCCAGGCCTGACCCCCAAAGCCACCCCACGATCCGTTCCCAGAGAAGCAGGGGGACACCTCAGTGCCACACAGGGAGCCCAAGGCCGAAAGCATTCGGGGCCAGTCGAGGCAGGGCCTCCATCTGTCCCCGTCATTCTCGTCTCCACCCGCCAGCCCTCAGCGCCGTGAGTGCCACGCCAGAGGCTGAGCAGGTAGCCGGGTGCAGGGCGGTGCCGGCCCAGTCCGCGGCCGGGCTTGCTTGCGATCCGCTAGTCTGACGTCCGCAGGAGAACGACTGCCAGTCCCCGGGTGTCACATGTCCCCGGGCGCTTGACACAAACACAGGTCCCTAAGCCAACTGCAAAAGGCCTGAGGGACGGGTCTGGGCTGATGTTAGGACGGTCACTCTTTGCTGGGCGGGGGGGGGGGGGGGGGGGGGGGGAGATGGCAGTGCCAGCGGTCCGGAAGGACATGTCCTCGTCTATCGGTCTTTGGAGGCGCGTGAAGCTATTAGTGGGGTGAAGCGATGCCGTTTCTTTTTTTTTTTTTTTTTTTTGAGACAGAGTCTCGCTTTGTTGCCCAGGCTAGAGTGAGTGCCATGGCGTCAGCCTCGCTCACAGCAACCTCCAACTCCTGGGCTCAAGCGATCCTCCTGCCTCAGCCTCCCGAGTAGCTGGGACTACAGGCATGCGCCACCATGCCCGGCTAATTTTTTTCTATATATATTAGTTGGCCAATTAATTTCTTTCTATTTATAGTAGAGACGGGGTCTCGCTCTTGCTCAGGCTGGTTTTGAACTCCTGACCTTGAGCAATCCGCCCGCCTCAGCCTCCCAGAGTGCTAGGATTACAGGCGTGAGCCACCGCGCCCGGCCGCGATGCCGTTTCTGGGATTTGCTTTAACATCATCCAGCAACATAGTAATAATAAAAAGCCAGAAAAGGGAGAGGGAAGAGCAAGCGTAGCAAAAGGTGTGAACCCCAGGATTCGGGTGCCGAGCTCTGTTTGTTGGCGGTTCTCGCAAGAGGAGGATAAATGTGAGTCCACACACCGTGCAGGCGCAGGGCCGAGGGTTGGGCTGTGAATTAGGGGTCCTCAAACTTTTCAAACAGGGGGCCAGTTCACTGTCCCTCAGACCGTTGGAGAGTGCGGCACACATTCCACACACGTGCACCACGGGCCCGGGACGAGTCGGCTGCTAAGCAGGACAGGCAGCGGTGGCAAAAACACCCCGTGGGCCAGATAAATGTCCTTGGTGGGCTGCATGTGGCCTGCAGGCCGCAGTTTAAGGACCCTTGCTGCAAATCTTATTCCGGGTGATGTCAGCCTACGTTTTGGGGGATGCTGTGATAATGGTCGCAGTGACCCCAAATCAGTCCAAAGTCAGTCCCTAGGGACGATCGTGGGCTACTCTGGGGACATCAATAGGATTTCCTGCTCACCTGAATTTCAGGAAAGTCTGGGCTCAGCAGCTCCCCGTTTTCCTGGACCCACATCAAGGTGTGGGCAGGGCTGGCTCCTTCTAGAAGCTCCAGGAGAGGGTTCACGTTCTGATCTTTTCTGGCTTCCAGAGGCCGCCCGAGTTCCCTGGCGCCTTCCTCCGTCTGCAAAGCACATGGCTCTAACCGCTGCTTGCAGCTCCTCTGCCGTGTCACTCTCCCTCTGCCCCGTCTTAGACCTGTGATGCCGTTTATGGGGCCACCCGGGAATGCAGGGCCGCCCCCACCGCAGGGCCCTCCACGCGATCACATCTGCACGGTCCCTCTTGCCATCACAGGTCACCTCACAGGTCCCAGCGACGTCTTTATCTCTGGGGGCTGCCATTCCTCCTGCCACCCCCGACACCGTCACACGACCACAGCTTGGGGGCAGCAGCAGGAAACCGACACCGGCAGAGCGCTGCCGTCCAGCCCGCAGGCCTGGTGCCAGCTGGCCCCAAATTGTCCTGTATGGCAAACATACGTTCGTTAAAGTTAGTTCCTCTCTCTCTCCCTCCAGCCACCCTCTCTCTCTGTTCGCCTCCAGTCTGCAACTGTTCCTGAGTCTGTCATTGTCACGCGTGACCTCGACACCCTGGAAGATCGCAGACCGGTTGTCGTGGCTCACTTGGGTGTTTCCCAGGATTAGATTCTAGTTTTGCATTTTTGGCAGGAGTGTCCCAGAAAGGATGCCGCCCGCCCGCCCGCGCGACACACCTTTTCCTAAGTCGACTTTACGTCGAGGTGTAGCGCGCATGCGCACAGACACACGCGTGTGCACGTAGAGCATCCGGCTCTGGGGAGCCCCGCAAGGGAGCGCCCTGTGTACCCCGCACGCAGACCACTTAACTGAGGTCCAGCAGGGCGACCTTGCGGTCTCAGCTCTCATACTGCACACGAGTGTCCTTTTCGTGGTACATTTAGTGCCACGTTTCCCACTTTTCTTTGTTGGTGATTTCACTGTCTGAAATGTCCCCAAAGCACATGCTGACGTGCTGTCCCGTGTCCCCAAGAGCAAGAAGGCTGTGAGGCGCCGTGTGGAGGAAGGGTGCGTTCCATGGGCACGCATCTGCGACATGTATATTAACAACGTGTCTCTAAGCAGAAACACGCAAAACAAAGTCACGTGTTGATCCGCTGGTGAAAGTGCTGTGACCAGAGGCTCACGGGCCCCTGACCCTGTATTTCCCCCAGGAGCAACGGTTCGTGTTCCCAACTCGGTGTTCAGGGTGACTCCATAGAACGTTCTAGTGCCATGGGCGTTGGCTGTGCTGTATGAATATTCTCTCCGTTTCTGTGTAGACAGAGCGTGTGTGTGTGTGTAGACACAGCATTCTAGGCCTTGCATTTTTTACTCGGCATTTTAGAGATCTTTCTGTATCGCCATAGAGCTTCCTTGTTCATTTCCCTGAGTCCTTTTCAATACTGGGACATCGCTTTATAAAGCAGACGACAGGAGCAGGCACTGCGGAGTGACCAGGCCAACCTCGGTCGTAAAATAAACCAGAATTTTCCGAACCGGTCCCTGTTTCGGGGCCTGCCCAGTGTAACAGGTGGACTTTAAGCCCGGGGCGGTGGTGTCGCTTGCCTTAGGGTTTCCGAGTTAAGGTTTTCAGGGGCCAGCGTGGGTCCGGAGCCCGCGTGACCTCTCCCCTCGTCCCCAGCCATGCTGCGCACGGTCTCGGCGGTCCTGCAGTTCGGCAACGTCGTCCTGAAGAGCGAGCGGAACACGGATCAGGCCACCATGCCAGACAACACAGGTACCGACGCAGCCCCGTCCTGCCTGCAGCCCGGGCCACTCCACGCCCTGCCCTTTGCCGCGTCTGTGCCGAAGTGACACCTCCCACCCTTCTCCTCAGCCTGTTATGGTGATGATATTCTGATAATAAGCGCGGGGGCTGCGGGAAGGCCGAACGCCACCAGCCTCTGCCACCAAGGAGAGCAGCAGGGTGGGCCTCTCTTCCCGGCCTCTAGCTGCTGCAGACAGAGACTTTTATTTTTATTTTATTTTATTTCATTTATTTTATTTTATTATTTTTTTTATTTTATTTTATTATTTTATTTTATTTTATTTTTTTGAGACAGAGTCTCGCTTTGTTGCCCAGGCTAGAGTGAGTGCCGTGGCGTCAGCCTAGCTCACAGCAACCTCAAACTCCTGGGCTCAAGCAATCCTGCTGCCTCAGCCTCCCGAGTAGCTGGGACTACAGGCATCCACCACCATGCCCAGCTAATTTTTCTATATATATTAGTTGGGCAATTAATTTCTTTCTATTTTTAGTAGAGACGGGGTCTCACTCTTGCTCAGGCTGGTTTCGAACTCCTGACCTCCAGCAATCTGCCCACCTCCCACAGTGCTAGGATTACAGACATGAGCCACCACGCCTGGCCCGAGACTTTTAAATTTTTGCCTTTAAAAAACAGAATTATAATCAGTGTTACTCTTTTTCTTTTTCTTTTTTTTTTTTGTTTTTTTCTTTTTCTTTTTTAACCGCAGATGTGGTAGAAATAGCATTTATTACTTTTTTAAAAATCAAAATGGAAGTGGCTGTGCTTCTCTATTATTATAAAGTAATGCAGGCTGCAAAGGAAAATGTCTGGGAAGACAGAAAAGTCCAAAGGAAGGGAGAAAATTACCCATAATCATAGAGATAATTAATACTCACATTCCAGAGGGTTTCTCTCTGGGCTTTGTTCTACATCTGTATCACGGCGGATATGGATCGTCACAGAAATGGAATCACGCTTCCCCCCCAACTCCCGGGAGACAGGAAGAGCTCGCCCTCCTGATTACAAAATCCAATGGGCTTTTTTTTCCCTAAACACTAAGATGGAAGAAAAGGGCTCATTTTTAAAAGCTGCACGGCCCAGAAAATAGGAGGCCAGGAGGCTTCACCCGCAGTGCTGTTGATTAGCGACATTACCTGTGGCGCTTGGGGGCTCTGATCACTAGCAGGTGTGCTGTGCACACGCATTTATTCGTTTGTTTTACAAAACTGGGGTGAGCCCTTACAAACATTTGAAGCCTGCTTTTCTCCATGAGTGGAAACTTCATCTGGGTTTTTCCAGGTTATTAACTACTAGTTTCCAAATTATTAACTGGAACTCTACTGGGATTTCTTTTTTTTTTTTTTTTTTTGAAGACAGAGTCTCACCTTGTTGCCCAGGCTAGAGTGAGTGCCGTGGCGTCAGCCTAGCTTACAGCAACCTCAAACTCCTGGGCTTAAGCAATCCTCCTGCCTCAGCCTCCCGAGTAACTGGGACTACAGGCATGCGCCACAGTGCCCGGCTAATTTTTTCTGTATAATTTTTGTTGTCCAGCTAATTTCTTTCTATTTTGAGTAGAGATGGGGCGTCACTCTTGCTCAGGCTGGTCTCGAACTCCTGACCTTGAGCGATCTACCTGCCTCGGCCTCCCAGAGTGCTAGGATTACAGGCGTGAGCCACAGCCAGCGTCTGCTGGAATTGCTTAATCTGGGGTCTATAGGGAGAGCTGTAGTCAGTAAAGCTGTCTCCTTTGAACACCTGTGTGTTCTCCTTCCTGCATTTGCAAAGATTAATCCGAGAAGCGATCCACGGGCCAAGGGTACACCAAAGGCTTCAAACCCAAGGGACAATGTCCTAATAAGGGCTGCATAGTTCTCCGGGGCACATTCCATGATGTTTTTTCAGGTCATTATTATTATTATTATTTTTTTAGTTGTTCAGTGCTTCCCATATAATGCAAAGTGAAGAATTAGAAACTGCAGTTGCACACTCACACAAAAGGAGAAGTTTAAATCCTCATAACCTCACTCTCAGAAGGAATCACTGTTGATATTTTAGTGCATTTCCTTCTAGACGTTTCTCTTTTCTTTTTTCTTTTCTGTTGGAGCTGAGTATTTGTAGGAACTGTTTTCTCATTATGGTCGTAATAGATGCTTGAAAATATTTATTTATTATTGTTTCAATTCCTAGTAGAAGAAACACACCTGCGTACATAGCCTCACCTTTGTCTTCTGCAAAAACATCTATTTAACACTGTGGCATCCACACATTTTTAAATGTATTTTTTTCCCTACAGAAATGAGACAATATTGTCTAACATTCTATGGTCTGAGTGTTTACCTTTTAATGCATTATATAGTTTGTTCCAGTTCATTCAGTATTTTCCAGTATAACCTTTTTTGCTATATTTTCTTGTAAAAATTTTCAAACGTACAGAAAAACCAAAAGGATTTATTTAGAAACGTATCTTTCTGTATGTACCAAAGAATTCCACCCTAGACTTTTTACTCCTGTTGTTATTATAAATGGTGTCTTTTTATTTGTTGGTATTTAAAATTTTTTTCCTCTTTTCCACAATGTAGAAGAACAATTAGTTTTTTTAAATATTGACTTTGTGTTTGGCCACCTCCAGGAATGCCTATTCCAATAGCTTCCCCCCCCCAACATTTTATTACGAATGCTATTGTTAATATTTTACTACACTTGCTTTATTGTGTATCTTTTCACCCATTGTATTTTTGGGTGTATTTCTAAGTTGCAGACACCAGTGTAGTTCCCACCTACACGCTTCATCCTGCATATCGTTAACTGCCATCCAATAGTTGGAGTTGCTTTTTTTATTTGAAGCGAAATGTGCATGTTGTGAAATCCACACATCTTGCGTGTACTGTGTAATGAGCTCCCGGGGTGATTTTTAGTGACTGCAGGACATTTATTCAGTTGAATAACCAATCCCTCCTTGCTGGGCACTCAGGTTATTTCCTGGTTTTCCCCACTATAAACAACACCGTTAGGAACATCCTCGCAGTGTGGTCTTTGCTCACGTCCAGGGTTGTTTTGGCCAACTCTGCTTCCTAGAGAGACAGTTGCTGGGCCAGAGCATGGGCACACTCTCAGGACTTGGGCTGCATCTGGTGGAAACGCCGGGGCCATCTCTGTCCCCCCAGCGGTGGGGGGGTGGCGCCCTCTCCCCCACTCCTCAGCCGGTGCCCGTTCCCGTTGCTGATCAGACCTTGCTGCCTCTCGCCCTCAGCCGCACAGAAGCTCTGCCGCCTCCTGGGACTGGGGGTGACAGATTTCTCCCGCGCCCTGCTCACCCCTCGCATCAAAGTTGGCCGAGACTACGTGCAGAAAGCCCAGACCAAGGAGCAGGTAGGCGGGGCTGGCGGCGGCCAGGTACCCTGGTCCGGGATCTTTCAACTGTTTATGCCATTTTTCTCACTCAACAGACTTCTGCTGAGTGCCTGCTCAAGTTATGGGCTCTGGTCGAGGTGCTGAAAATAAAAGCAGTAATCTTATGTTTCCACTCAAAATAAAATAAAAGCAGTAATCAAAGCAATCAAGTTATAATAGGGACACAGATATTAAAGAAGATAGATGAACAGGACACTTGTAGACAGTGACAGCTTGTTTGAAGGAGGAGGTTTGAGCGGTTGGGAAAGTTTGAGGTGACTCAAGGCAGAAGAGACAGTGAGTGCGAACGGCCTGGGGCCAGAACAAGCTTGGCAAGTTGGGAGGACGAAGAGAGTGAGGGAGGCTAGAGAGCAAGCGACAGGGCAGTTGAAGTTGCGGTCAGACATGTCGGCAGCGGACAGATCACATAAGGTCTTAGGGGCCACGGTAAGGAGGTGAGTTTTATCCACAGTACACGGGAGGCCAGTTAAGGCTTTAAGCCAGGGAGCGACTTGATTCCGTTTATCGTTTGTAGAAAGATCCCCTGGCTGCTGGGCGGACAATTGGGCCCAGGGGCACAGGTAGAGGCAGGGAGACATGAGAAGGCCACGGCCGTAGCCCAGGCAGGCAGTGATGGTGGCTGAACCAGGGTGGTGGCAGTGAGGGAGGAGCATAATGAACACAGGCCAGGGAGGTTTCCAGAATCCAGCTTTTGGGCAGAGGCCTCAGCTGGGCACTGAAGGCTGAGGATGAAGTAGACAGTGGGGAGAAGAGGAGTTCTCATCTGGGGAACTATGTCAGGCCCCATTTTACAGATGAAGACACTGAGGCACAGAGAGGCTTATTTGCATGCCTGAGGTCACACAGCCTCATAAGTGATAGAGCTGGGATTCGAACCCAGGTTCTTTGGCTCCTGAGACCACGCTGTTAGCCTCTGTGCTATAGAAGTTGATTTCAGGGGCGGGAGGAGGACTCCTTTCGTGAGCTAACGTGGCCTGGGCACCTCCCACGGTACCTGGCACACAGTAGGACTTCAGGAACGCTCGACTGTTGTTCGTGTCCTTGTTCTTGGTGGCATTCATGATTAAGAGAGCCACGCACAGAGGCGCCCCACCTCCCCCCTGTCCACGCCACCCCTGTCTCCTGGCTGCGCCCTCACCGTGCGCCCTGCCCCGCAGGCTGACTTCGCGCTGGAGGCCCTGGCCAAAGCCACCTACGAGCGCCTCTTCCGCTGGCTCGTCCTGCGTCTCAACCGCGCCCTGGACCGCAGCCCCCGGCAGGGCGCCTCCTTCCTGGGCATCCTGGACATCGCCGGCTTCGAGATCTTCCAGGTCCGCCCCCCGCGCCGGCTGGGTGGGGGTTCGGGGCTCCTGCACCCTGGCCTGTTTCTCTCTCTCTCTCTCCCCGTCTCTGCGGCCCCCTCTGTCCCCCACTCACCGTGTCCTCTGTCCCCGGCAGCTGAACTCCTTCGAGCAGCTGTGCATCAACTACACCAACGAGAAGCTGCAGCAGCTGTTCAACCACACCATGTTCGTGCTGGAGCAGGAGGAGTACCAGCGCGAGGGCATCCCCTGGACCTTCCTGGACTTCGGCCTCGACCTGCAGCCCTGCATCGACCTCATCGAGCGGCCGGTGAGCCGAGGCCCCGCCCTCAAAGCCGCCCCCTCCGCTGGCCGTGTGCCCTTGCCCAGCCCCCACCCGCCGGGCCGCAGGCTCCCCGCGGGCCCCCGAGGAGGATGACGCCCCTGCCCCCTAGGCCCGTCGTGCCCAGCGCGTGCCAGCCCTGGGATCCCTCTCTGGCTGTGGGCGTCGCGCTTTGGTGGCTCGTCCCTGTGTGACTTACAAGACTAGACGTCTCTCATCGGGGGTCTTACTTGCTGTCCCCGCTCACGAATGCCCAGGCCAACCCGCCCGGGCTGCTGGCCCTGCTGGACGAGGAGTGCTGGTTCCCGAAGGCGACAGACAAGTCGTTCGTGGAGAAGGTGGCCCAGGAGCAGGGCGGCCACCCCAAGTTCCAGCGGCCCAGGCACCTGCGGGATCAGGCCGACTTCAGTGTCTTGCACTACGCGGGCAAGGTGGGGACTGGGGGCCAGCCCTGGGGCACATGGGTGTGATTGGGGATTGAAATGTGGGGGGGAATCAGGGGCCTTCTGATGTCCAGACAAACAGGGCAGGGAGCCTGAGGGGTGAGGACTCTGTCTGATGGGATCAACACAACCTTACTCAAGGAGGGGACATTTGCAGGGGGTTTTGAGGGATGGGTAGGAGTTCACCAGGAAGAAAACTATGCACATTTTATTCACTCAGTCAGCAAGCATGTCCAAAGGCCTTTTGTGTGCCCAGCTCAGTGCTGAGCAAAGCTGGGGACATGAGTCAGATGTGGTTTCTGTCCTCATAAAGTTCCTTATCTGAGAGGGAGACAGATCCAGACCACCAGGATATAAGGCCGATAGGTGTTTTAATGGGGGCAGCTAAGGGTAGAGCCAGAGGAGCAATGCCGGGGCAGAGAATGATGCTCACCTTGTGTCCATATCCTGAAATCTGAATCAAGGGTCAGCAAACGTTTCTCGTAAAGGGCCAGGTAGTACATGGCTTCGGCTCTGCGGGCCAGACGGTCTCTGTCACAGCTACACGATTCTGTCGCAGCGCAAAACGAAGACATCAGTGGAGGCTGCGTTCCAACCAGAGCATTCACACAAAGAGGTGGCAGCGGGGTCTGGCCGTGGGCGGTAATGGCCCACCCCGGGTCTCAGTGAGGAGCAGCGGGAGGCCAGGGAGCGAGGGTGCAGGCAGGAGGGGCTTTCCAGGTGGAGGTGACAGCAACATGAAGGCAGAAAGGGGGTCCTCGTGTGCCCAGCCCCGTGCTAGGTCGTGAGTTAGGCCACGAGCCAGGCCTGGGCGCTGCTCTCGGGACCCCTGTCTGGGGGTGGGCCCCACGGGGTGGCCGGGATATAGTGTGAGCATCCACAGTAAGGGAACACCTGGTGGCGGGAACCGCAGGGGTAAGACCCACCGGTGCGAGTGAGCCTGCGTGTTCGAGGAATGGCGAGGGGCCCGGGGGGGCCGGAGCAGAGTGAACAGGAGGACGGTGGTCTGGGAGGAGCTCAGGAGGCGGGCAGGGGACATCTGGGAGTAGGAGGAGAAAGGGGGCCCATGCTGGCCCGGGTGCAGTTCAGGATATGGACACAAGGTGACAGCAACGCCCCCGTCCGTGGCGAGGCCAGGTTCTGGGCGGCTCAGAGCCCTGGGGGGAGGGAGGCTCCTTGGGAAACCTGTGCCCTGCAAGCTGTCACCGCCTCTGCCCGGCTTCATCCAGGTCGACTACAAGGCCAACGAGTGGCTGATGAAAAACATGGACCCTCTGAATGACAACGTTGCAGCCCTGCTTCACCAAAGCACAGACCGGCTGACGGCGGAGATCTGGAAAGACGGTGAGGCCCGGCTTCCCCAGCCCGGCCTTGGCGGTCCGGGCATCCCTCCTCCCAGCCTGCAGCGCCAGCACCTCTGTTTGGGAGCCCGCGGTCTGAACCGGAGTTGTGTGCTCAGACCCGGAACAGACAGCCTCCCAAATAATATTTCCGATCCGGGATGGGCGGAGAGATTGAGTGACATCCCAAGCCAGCAGGGTACTCGAGGATAAAACACTCCCCCTTAGTCAGAAACCAGACAAGGATGCCCACTGTCAGCGTTGCTGCTGAACATTGTTTTTAGCAATACTAGCCTATGCAATCAGACTGGAAAAAAAATAAGCATATGAATTTTTTTTTAAAAAAAAGGTAAACTTCTGAAGTGGGCAGATTGCTTGAGGTCAGGAGTTCAAAACCAGCCTGAGCAAGCAAGAACAAGACTCCATCTCTACTATAAATAGAAAGAAATTAATTGGCCAACTAAAAATATATAGAAAAAATGAGCTGGGCATGGTGACGCATGCCTGTAGTCCCAGCTACTTGGGAGGCTGAGGCAGAAGGATTGCTTGAGCCCAGGAGTTTGAGGTTGCTGTGAGCTAGGCTGACGCCAGGGCACTCACTCTAGCCTGGGCAACAAAGCGAGACTCTGTCCCCAAAAAAAAAAAAGGTAAACTTGTTATTTGTAGATGGCATGTGTTCCCTAAAAATTAAGAGATTCTACTGAAAAATAATAAGAGACCTCAGAATGGTGATATTACGCAGGTTAGTCAACTTTTAGGCTTTGCTTTCTTTGCTGCCTCACAAAGCCCCTGAAAGCCACCAGGGAAGAGGAAAAGAGCGACAGGCCAAGATGTGGTTTTGGGGGCACTTTCTGGCTCCAGCGAGGCCCTTGTAACTTTATCAGGCCTTTAGGACTGATGGTTCTAGGAAGCACAGGCAGAAGAGCCAAATGCCCTGTGCTAGAACCCCTGATATTTTCTAAGACTTGTCTGCTACCCTCATCCTCAGAGAAAGTTGGAGAAATGGTTTTATAAAACTGGCAAAACCAGCATCTTAGTTTTTCTAGATTTCAGGTTTCTGACATTTGTCAGTTTGCCTTCATCTTGTTTTGTAGTGAAAAGGGTAGGTGTAAAAGCACCCGCCTATGCAATTAGGCAAGAAAAGAAAATGAGCAAGATGAGTGGTTCCCAAAACAAACTCATAGAGCAAAAGAGCAAGCAGTGCTTGACCTCGTGAGCTGATGTTAGAGAGAGAAGTTTGATTTTTGTGTCTCATATAGTTTACACAAGAGGGATTGAAAAGCAGTGTTTGGCCGGGCACGGTGGCTCACGCCTGTAATCCTAGCACTCTGGGAGGCCGAGGCGGGAGGATTGCTCAAGGTCTGGAGTTTGAAACCAGCCTGAGCGAGACCCCATCTCTACTAAAAATAGAAATTAATTGACCAACTAAAAATATATATACAAAAAATGAGCCGGGCATGGTGGCGCATGCCTGTAGTCCCAGCTACTCGGGAGGCTGAGGCAGGAGGATCGCTTGAGCCCCGGAGTTTGAGGTTGCTGTGAGCTAGGCTGACGACACAGCACTCACTCTAGCCTGGGCTAGAGTGAGACTCTGTCTCAAAAAAAAAGAAAAGAAAAGAAAAAGAAAAGCAGTGTTTGATGTTCAGGAAAAGAACAAGATTCTGCTGTGAGAATCATCTCCAGACTAAAAATCTACCCATATCTTTAAAACTTCATGGACATGGTGCCGACCCCCCACCCTGTGATCCCTCGTTTGTGCCACTCCACATGTGCCTGTCTCTCTAAGGGTTCCAAGAGAGGAAGTGGAACCCCTGAACCTTAAGCTTAGAGCTAGCACAGTGGCACCTTCCTCCACAGTTCTCCTAAACAAAGCTAGTCACAGGCCAGCCCGGGTTCATGGAGCTTCAGGTCACAGGCAAAGGGTGTGAAGACAGAAGAGTGGGGAATCGGGGCCGTTTTCGTATCAGTCTCTACTGCAGCTTCTTTTAGCCCAGAGTTTGGGGCCCAGCATCCTGGCCACCCAAGGGAAAAGGTAAATGAAATAAGCTCTCTTCTGAAAGGTAAAAACAACTGGGCTGAGAGCATCAATTTAGTGCTTGAGCTTCCTGGCAGCCAGAGCAAAAAGGGATACACCCTCTAGGGAGAGAGATATATTTTTTTTTCCTTGCACTACATTTTCACAGAAGACATTTGTCCTTTCAGCCAACATTGATGCTGTCAGTGGGTAGATAACGAAGGTGAACGGGACTTTAAAAGTTCACGGCCACGGTTCAGTTTTCCCCTCCTGCTTTGCCCTGTGCTGTTGACTAATAACTGTCTCCTTTTTTTCTTCCTCCACTTTCTCTCCTCCCTCTCTTCTCATGCATCTCTCCTCGCCATCTCCCTGCCATCTCCCCTCCGCCCCCCTCACCTGTCCCCGCTCCCCAGAACACGGGGGCTTCCAGCACTTCTCTTTCCTTGATTCCTTCCCGCCGGCGGCTCCAGGAAGCGCAGGGAGGTTTGGCTCTGCCGTGTCTGCGTCAGGGGGTGGGTGCCTCTGCGAAGATGGGTGAGGCTGCCGCGTGAGGCGGGCGGGCCTGTTGGGTGGGACCCTGGTCTTGAACCTCTGTCCCTTCCCCCCTCGATGCGGGGTCTCTCTGTCCCCCTCAGCAGCTCCCAGACTCTATAGCAGCAGAACCCTTTCTTCCAGCCAAGCCTCGTGTAAAAGCACAGATACCTGCCATGACGTCGGCTGGTGTTTTCTGAGCACTTACTACGTGCCATTCCCTGTGTCGAGCTTGTTTTATAATTTTTGACACCCAGAAACCCCCGAACAACCTCATAAGGGAGGTGTTAGTGCTGTTACCCCCGTTGTACAAATGGGGAAACTGAGGCACAGAGACAATAGGTAACTTGCTGGTAACGTCACACTGCCAGTAAGTGGCAGAGCCGGGATTTGAACTCAGGTCCCAGAACCTTGGCTCTTATCTGAGCTATGAGAACTTAATAAACGGCGCTCGCTTCCAATACTAGAATTGGAACGATACAGAGAAAATTAGCACGGCCCCTGCACAAGGATGACACACAAATTTGCGAGCTGTTCCATATTTTTTAAAAATAATACATGATAATGATAAAAGAACTTAATAAATAATAATTATCATTTCAGAAATCACTGGGAATGTGGGATAAGGGAGAGTGTTGAGCCTGGGGAGGAAAATGTGGCATTTGTGCCCCACCGGGCGCCAGGCCCTGCCCTGGGCGCAGATTATCCGGTTGAAAGCTGATGCCAGTTAGGGGGGCTGAGTTTTGCAGGACATCAGATTCTGCCCCGGCCGCAGCTGCTTGTTCCTAAGAAACCTGGCAGGATTTGAGACCAATCCGGAAGGAAAGAGTAGGGGTTTTTCACTAGCTGAAGTGGCGCCACCAAGGGGCGACAGAGAGAACAGAGCTACCTTGAGATCCAGCCTGTCTGGAAAAATGGGTAACGTGCAGGCAGTTCACTGTGTTTAGTGTTTTTATTGCACATAAAGGCAAGACGTTATTACAGCTTTTAATATGTTTCAACTTCCTAAAATGCACCTTGGCTGCGTTTGTTATCACTGTTTTTCCCTCTCAGTGCCTCAGTTTCCTCATCTGTAAAATGGGAATGATTCTTATAGGCTTATGAAGCCGCTGCGTGTACATGATTTTGAGCAGTGCCTAGCAGAGTCTAAGTGCTAGTTAAACATTTGCTGTCATCGTTATCATCGTCATCATTTATTAGTAAGGCAAACAGAGATCGTGTCCTCCGAGAGAACAGGGGCCAACCACCAGGGCTCGGGAGGGCTCCTGCGGCCTGGCTGCTAGTCCTGGACCTTCAGTTTCTAGGCTGTGTGGCCTGCAGCAGTCTCCTAGTTTGCCCATCCGTCCAAAGGGGCCGATGAGACCCACCTGACAGGCTGTGTGAGGGCTTTCATATGTAAAGTGCCAGATCCTATAAACAACAAGACCCTTGACCTTTGACCAAGCCGGCTCCCTAAAGATGACCCCTGACCCCCCTCTCTCTGTGTGTCTGTTTCCTCCCCCCATAGTGGAAGGCATCGTGGGGCTGGAACAGGTGAGCAGCCTTGGGGACGGCCCACCGGGTGGCCGCCCCCGCCGGGGCATGTTCCGGACGGTGGGACAGCTCTACAAGGAGTCCCTGAGCCGCCTCATGGCCACACTCAGCAACACCAACCCCAGTTTTGTCCGCTGCATTGTCCCCAACCATGAGAAGAGGGTGAGTGACCCAGCGGGGGCCGGGCAGGGTGGCTCTGGCAGTGGGTGACGGTCTGGGCTTGGCTGGGGCCACGTCTGATTCCAGCACCCCCTGCGGTTGGCCGTGGGGCTTTGAGCAGGTTGCTTCTGTTCCCGGGCTCAGTGCCCCATTGGGGAATTCATTCATCATGTGACCTAAATGTATCGAGCCCCTGCTGTGGCAGGTGACACGAGGCCGGGGACACGTGGCAGAGGAAAGCACGGCCAGCCCCGGCCTGCAGAGCTCAGTCTAATCGGGGGCACAGACACTCAACTAACGGTCCAAAATGAATGTCCGGTTGAATTTGTGGGGGTGGCAAGTGTCACTTGGGGCTTGATCTGGTCAGTGAAGTCAGGGAAGGCTCCCTGGAGGAGGTGATGGCTTAGCTGTGGTTGTTGGGTGGGTCTGTATGTGTGTTTCTGGTTTCTCATGTCTGCAAATTCCATATTTTATCAAATCCGGGGCCGACATTTCTTTTTTTTTTTTTTGAGACAGAGTCTCGATTTGTTGCCCAGGCTAGAGTGAGTGCCGTGGCGTCAGCCTAGCTCACAGCAACCTCAAACTCCTGGGCTCAAGCGATCCTCCTGCCTCAGCCTCCCGAGTAGCTGGGACTACAGACATGTACCACCATGCCCAGCTGATCTTTTTGTATATATTTTTAGTTGGCCAATTAATTTCTTTCCATTTATAGTAGAGACGGGGGTCTTGCTCTTGCTCAGGCTGGTTTCGAACTCCTGAACTCGAGCAATCCGCCCGCCTCGGCCTCCCAGAGAGCTAGGATTACAGGCATGAGCCACCATGCCCGGCCCGGGGCCGACATTTCTGCACGCTGCTAGCATCTCTGAAGTCAGGATGTGGCCTACAGTCCGTCGCCTGGCAGAGTTTGATCGCAAGCCTTCCTTTTCTTTCTTGGTGGCAGATAAAATAGCGGCATGTGTCATTTGCATTTCTGTGCTGTTTAGATCTTTGCCATTTGTGTGTTACTGCTGAAAAATAAAAGGCAACAAAAGCTAACCACCAAAAATGCTCATTTGGGGGCTTTGGTCACATATTCATGTCTCAGTGCGGCCTTTTGCCTGCTCTCCTGTGTGCAAATCCAGCCCTGCCCACCCTGCCTCCCGCAGATCCTTCCCCCTCGGCACTTATCGTTTCATCTCTACTCTGGACAGTTAATAGTGGCAGCTTGACTTCTATTAATATTATTGTCACGGCCGGGCGCGGTGGCTCACGTCTGTAATCCTAGCACTCTGGGAGGCCGAGGCGGGCGGATTGCTCGAGGTCAGGAGTTCGAAACCAGCCTGAGCAAGAGCGAGACCCCGTCTCTACTATAAACAGAAAGAAATTAATTGGCCAACTAATATATATACAAAAAATTAGCCGGGCATGGTGGCGCATGTCTGTAGTCCCAGCTACTGGGGAGGTTGAGGCAGGAGGATTGCTTGAGCCCAGGAGTTTGAGGTTGCTGTGAGCTAGGCTGACGCCACGGCACTCACTCTAGCCTGGGCAACAAAGCGAGACCCTGTCTCAAAATAAAAATTATCGTCAGCTTGTCCCACCGAACTTTCAGCTCTCCGGGGCAAGCACTTGTGCCTGACTGAGCATTACTCTCCCCAGTGCCTAGAACAGTGCCTGGCATGTAGTAGGTGCTCAGTAAATCACAGCAAAATGGCCAAGATTGAACCATTTGTGCTGGCAAGTGGCGCCCCCGTGTGGCCACCGCTGACCCTGCGTGTCTGTGCGCTCTTTCCAGGCTGGGAAGCTGGAGCCCAGGCTGGTGCTGGACCAGCTGCGATGCAACGGCGTCCTGGAGGGCATCCGCATCTGTCGCCAGGGCTTCCCCAACCGCATCCTCTTCCAGGAGTTCCGGCAGCGGTGAGCGGAGCAGGGCGGGACGGCGGGGCGGGGTGGGGCGGGGCTCCAGGCTGGAAGCCACCACGCTTGCATTGGAATTGCTATTCTGAGCTGGGGGACTTGGAGCAAGTGACTCACTCTGCTGAGCCTCAGTTTCCTCCTCTGGGTTATGGGACACCATCAGCCCACTGGATGCGCTGCTGAGAGCAAGCACACGGCGCGCTGGGGGGCTGGCGCCCTTTGCTGCGGACATTTAGGGTGGCGGTCCCCAAACCAGGACCATGAAATCGCTTCAGCATGTTGCAACCCGCTCCTCTTAACAAACGCGGTAGAACAGGAGAGAACACAACATGCCAAAGTCTAATGAGCTCACGCCTGTAGTCCCAGCACCCTGGGAGGCTGAGGCGAAAGGATCGCTCAAGGTCAGGAGTTCGAAACCAGCCTGAGCAAGAACAAGACCCCATCTCTACTAAAAAAAAAAAAAAAATAGAAATTAGCCAGACAACTAAAAATATATAGAAAAAATCAGCCGGGCATGGTGGCGCATGCCTGCAGTCCAAACTACTCGGGAGGCTGAGGCAGGAGGATCGCTTGAGCCAGGAGATGGAGGTTGCTGTGAGCTAGGCTGACACCACGGCACTCTAGTCTGGACAATAAAATGAGACTCTGTCTCAAAAAAAAAAAAAAAAAAAAAAAAAGGAAAGAAAGAGCATTCCTGGGCCACCTGTCTCAACATCCCCTGGGAACTTGTCAAATGAGCAAATTTTGGGGCCCCACCCCCAACCCCCTGAACTAGGAACTGCAGGTGACTGAGAAACTGACGAGCACGCACGTATATCCTTATCTACACCGATCGTAAAATAATGCATGTCATATACGCGACACGCGTGGTATGTGTGTCTGGGCATGTGCCACCTACGTTATCATGTTACGTGAAATGTCAGGATCCAGGGAGGAGGCACGGTGGGCCAGAGGCTCTGCAGAGGGACACACGTGCATCTATGAAATGCATTGTTTTATTCCGAGTGACACTCTGAAATTTGTCAGAGATGCTAAAGGCGCGTAGCTCGGGCCTGGCATGGAACACGCGTGGAGGACACCGGCGGCTATTGTGGACGTTCTCCCGTTTCCATGCTGGGTGAATCGTGGTGACGGTGCAATGGGACGCCCGTAGCCAGCGTGTGAGGATGGGAGCGTTTGTTGTCGGTGGCGCTGTCCTTGGTGGAGGGATTAATGCTGGAATGTTGTTAGCTTTTGTGACTGTTCTTGTTATTGTCATCCTTTTGTTCTGCTGTTTGTCGCTCTGAGCCCAGCGCCTGGCCCAGGGCAGGTACTCAGTGACAGTCTGCTGCATCTCTCCCTCCCACCCCTCCCCGCCCGCCGCAGGTACGAGATCCTGACGCCTAACGCCATCCCCAAGGGCTTCATGGACGGGAAGCAGGCCTGCGAGAAGATGGTGCGTGTGGGCGGGGCCTGGGGTGCGCTGCACGCGGGGGGGGGGGGGGCTGGGATGTCCCCCTTCACCACCCCTCCCCATACCCCTCCCCAACACCCCTCCCAACACCCTCCCCTCATCACCCCTCCTCATCCACCCCTCCCCACATTACCCCTCCCTCTTCCCCTCCCTCTTCACCCCTCCCTATCACCCTTCCTCACCACCCTCCCCCATCACCCCTCCCCCATCACCCCTCCCCCATCACCCCTCCCCACCACCCCTTCCTCACCACACCCTCCCCATCACCCTCCCTAATCACCCCTCCCTTATCACCCCTCCCCCACCCCTCACAGATCCAGGCCCTGGATCTGGACCCCAACCTCTACCGCGTGGGACAGAGCAAGATCTTCTTCCGGGCGGGGGTCCTGGCCCAGCTGGAAGAGGAGCGGGACCTGAAAGTCACCGACATCATCGTGTCCTTCCAGGCAGCTGCCCGGGGATACCTGGCCCGCAGGTGGGGGGCCGGGCCGTCTCCGGGGCGGAGGCTGGGTCAGGGAGGGGCTGACCAGATGGCCCAGTGTCGGGGCCTGCCAGTCAGTGGAAGGGCCGAGAAGCAGGTGGGCGGAGCGTGGGCCGCCTGGGAGTCTTAGCTCTGCAGCCCCCGGGGCCCCTGCGGACCAGGCCCCGTGCTGGGTGACGTTGGCAGCACAGAGGAGCCGGACTCGGCCACAGGGTGACCCGTCACCCCAGTCTGCCTGGGACCGGGTTTCCCAGGACGCAGAGCTGTCAGAGCTAACACGGAAAGCCCAGGGCAGCCGTTCGCCCACCCGGCCAGGCCCTGGAGGGGCCGCAGTCGGGCACAGAGCCGCAGTCCAGCTGAGGCGCGTGGATGGGGGCCACAGAGGTGTCCTGAGGAGGCCCTGCTGCAGGCCAGGGCGCCCCCAGGCACGCTGGGAGCAGGCACATGCGGGGGACGGGAAGGGTGTTCCAGGCAGGAGACGCGGCTTGTGCAAAGGCCCTGTGCCGCGGGCGCCGGGCACGTTCCAGGAAGGCAGGAAGTTTGTGGAAATCTCCCTCCTCCTCCTTAGAAGTGGCTCAGAGAGTAGACAGTGGCAGGAAAGGACGCCCCAAACACCAGGCTGAGGGGCGGGAGCCTTGTCCAGGGTGCCGGGGAGGGCCGGGCCAGCTCTGGGTGCAGGAAGACCCCTGGAGGCATGTCGGGGAGGGACCAAGAAGAGAGGCTGGGAGGCTGGGAGGAGGCTGGGTGAGGGCCCAGGTGGGGGAGGCTGGGGCCTGAACGAGGGCTGGGGCCGTGGGATAGGCCAGAGGGTTGGGGGCAAGAGGACTAACAAGCCGAACACAGCAGGATCTGCCAATAATAGAATGGTGCCGCACACAGCAGGCATCTAATAATGGCTGACTAAGTGAAAGGACTTCGGCTCCCTCGCGGAAGGGACAGGCCCTGGGGGGGCAGAAACCCCACTCTCCCTCTGCCCGCCTCCCCGCGCAGGGCCTTCCAGAAGCGGCAGCAGCAGCAGAGCGCCCTGCGGGTCATGCAGCGGAACTGCGCCGCCTACCTCAAGCTCAGGCACTGGCAGTGGTGGCGGCTGTTCACCAAGGTGAGGGCAGCGGGGACAGGGCCGTGGGGCCTGGGCTGCTCGGGCAAGCCACTTCCTCTGTCTGGGCCTCAGTTTTCTGCATCTGTAGAATGGGGCCGAGCAGCCCGACCTTCGTTAGCCGGGTGGGATTCTTTAGGTAGGAGGTGACCAAAAAAAAAAGTGTGACTCAAACCCACATGGATAAAAAGATACAAGACAGGTGGAGGTGGGGCTGCAGCCCGGGCTGAGGGAGGGGTCGCTGAGACCCCCCGCAGGTTGGGGGGTCCCTGGAAGGACTCACAGAACGTAGGGCAGCTGCTGCACTCGCGGTCACAGTTTATCACAGATTGCAGTGAGCAAAGGTAAAAAGTGCACAAGGCAGGCTGGGCGCGGCGGCTCGCGCCTGTAATCCTAGCACTCTGGGAGGCCGAGGCGGGCGGATTGCTTGAGATCAGGAGTTCGAAACCAGCCTGAGCAAGATTGAGACCCCATCTCTACTATAAATAAAAAAAGAAACTAATTGGCCAACTAATATATATAGAAAAAATTAGCCGGGCATGGTGGCGCATGCCTGTAGTCCCAGCTACTTGGGAGGCTGAGGCAGGAGGATCGCTTGAGCCCAGGAGTGTGAGGTTGCTGTGAGCTAGGCTGACGCCACGGCACTCACTCTAGCCTGGGCAACAAAGCGAGACTCTGTCTCAAAAAAAAAGAAAAAAAAAAAAGTGCACAAGGCAGAGCCCAGGCGCGCCCTTCCAGCTGTCCTCTCCCATGGAGCTGTGGGGACAGTGCTTATTTCCGCGGCGACGATGTGTGACAACAGGCGAGAGTGTTGCCGGCCAGGGAAGCCCCCCCAGGCCTCGGTGGTCAGGGTTTTTGTTGGGGGTTGGCCACGTAGGCATGACGCCGCTGCAGAGGTCAAAGTGACAGAGCATGGCCCCAGGCGCCAGCGTGCCTCAGGGTGTCGGCAGAGACCGTCCTGCATGGCCCACGCCCCAGGTAGACAGACAGTCCCAGGCAGGACGTTCCAAGGGCCTAGAGGTTCCCTCCCAGGGGTCTGTCCAGGCTCACAGTAGGCATTGAATAGCCTTTCCAATCCAGAGTCCTTTCTTTGGAACATGCGGGGTTGGGACAACCCAGCCCTGCCGAGCCCACCCTTTACTGCACAAATGTCCACACAGTAACGTCACTGTCCGGCGTTCTCCGTCTCCTGTTTGCTTTTCTCCCGAGACAATTGCCAGCCAAGGCTCCCCGTGCCGGGGCCACCAGCACGTACGGACGTGAGCCACCAGCTCGGCCGGTTCGGTCTCCTCTCGTGGCGGAGCTCCGGCCAGATTCCCAGGGTTCACTCTGGTTGGCCCAGCTGGAGTCGTGTGACCATCCCAGTGCACATCAGATGTGCTGGGCCGGCGTCACATGCCACCCAAGGCAGAGGGGCAAAGAGCCGTCAGGCCCCCTCGAGCTCAGCAGCCAGGTGTTCCCCGACAGGAAGCTGGAGAGACGAAAGGAGGATGGAGATTTGGGGGCAAAAGCACAGCTGTTCAATGGAATTCTGAACACGATGGCTGAGAAATCAGCCTGCCGCTCCAAGCCAGTGTTAACTGAGCACCTACTAGGCGCCAAGACCTTTCATAGGGGCTGGCGATGAATGGTGAATAGAAGCAGACTAGGTCCTGCTGCCACGGAGCCCACGGCCCGGGACAGGAGGTGGCACGCTGTGGCCCACCGGCCAGGGGACTGTGTTTGTAAAAGCCCATTGGTTCAGGGTGGATCGTCTTGCAGCTACGTCTGCATTACGGGGACTAAGTAGAGCAGGGAGCCAGAGGCTGTGTGGCCTGCCAAGTCCCAAATACATCCCAGATGGCCCTTTTTTTTTTTTTTTTTTGAGACAGAGTCTCGCTTTATTGCCCAGGCTAGAGTGAGTGCTGTGGCTTCAGCCCAGCTCACAGCAACCTCCAACTCCTGGGCTCAAGCGATCCTGCTGCCTCAGCCTCCCAAGTAGCTGGGACTACAGGCATGCGCTACCATGCCTGGCTAATTTTTTCTATATATATTAGTTGGCCAATTAATTTCTTTCTATTTATAGTAGAGACGGGGTCTGCACTTGCTCAGGCTGGTTTCGAACTCCTGACCTCGAGCAATCCTCCCGCCTCGGCCTCCCAGAGTGCTAGGATTACAGGCGTGAGCCACTGTGCCCGGTCCCCAGCTGGCCCTTGAAGACAAAGTTTGCCCACCCTAGGTCTTGCAGGTTGAGGGTGGGGCGTGGCCGGACGGGCACCCATTCATGAATTCGATGAATAAACATAAAGCCACACCTGGGGCAAATGCCATGAATTAGGGCAGAAAAGGGCTAATAGAATAGACACAGAAGTGGGCAGGGTGGAAAAGCAGCAAGCGGAGGGAGTTGTGCGGAAAACGATGGAATGGAAATTGTCAGAGCGGATTCCACTCGGCAAGGGGGCAGGTGGTTTTGTGACACATTTGTGTCAGGTACGTGTGTGTCCCGGTCGCTGCAGCCTAGAAAGCGCATCTCTTGCTGAGGGCCTTGGACAAAGAGCCTTCAGAAATACCGTCCACAAATAGGAAAGAAAGTCTCTATGGCAAAAAACAATAAAATTAATAAAATTAATTAAAAGCATGCCTCACAGCATAGCAGCAGCCACAGTAGCTCTTGGATGCAGAGGGTCCCTTTAAACAAAAAGGGGAAAAAAATTAATGTATTTAGTGGCGCTTGCTGTGTACCTGTCACTGTTCTGGGCTCTTTGCAAGTGGTAACTCATTTAATTGGAAACCCCTGGGAAGCAGGGGCTGTTGTCAAGGCGAAGCCACACTAGTAGTAGTAGGAGGAGCTGGGATTGGAACTCAAGAACTCAAGCCCCACTGGGAGTGCGAGGTCTTAGCCTCTGGGCCAGGTGGGCCCCCAACTTGGGAGCCAGCCATTCCACCACCCGTCACCTTTCTCCAGGTGAAGCCACTGCTGCAGGTGACGCGGCAGGACGAGGTGCTGCAGGCGCGGGCCCAGGAGCTGCAGAAAGTGCAGGAGTTGCAGCAGCAGAGCGCCCGCGAAGTGGGCGAGCTCCAGGGCCGCGTGGCACAGGTGAGGGGCGGGGCCGGGGCATGAGGGGCGGGGCTATGTGGGTGTGGGGTGGGGCCAGGACGTGTAGGGGCGGGGCCTTGGGTGGAGCCAGGGTGTGAGGGGCGGGGCTTCTGGCCTAGCCAGCCCGTCGTAGGGTGGAGGCCAGGCAGGGGTTGGGACTGTTTGATGTGGGTCAGGGCACTGGGGGTGCAGCCAGGGTACGAGTGGGGTAGGGGTGGAGGAGTCCTGCAGAGCCAGGACGCTCAGGGTCTGGGCTGTGGGATTTGGGGGCAGTGTGGGGCGCCAGGCTGTGGCACGTAGGCTATAGTACGTAGGCAGTGGACTTTTAGCTGTTTCCAGTATTTTTGCTAACTTAAAACAATGGAGCAAACCCCCTTCTTGAACATTTTTCTGTTGGCTTTTCCTGAATTGCTTCCCCTGGTTGAATTTCTAGGCGTAGGAGTATTAAATGAAGTGTGAGATGGTAGAAAGACCCCCGAGGTCATTTGGAAGCTGGACTAGGAGAAGAGAGGCTGGAGGCTGCGTGGGTTGGGGAGGAGGCTGGAGAGAGTCCAGGTGGGGAGGACCAGGCCCCGGCCTGCCGGGGACCAGGGGGAGGCCAGCGAGGGACGGGGCTGGGGGCTGATGGGCTCTGGGAGGCGAGAGAGGAGAGCACGCAGGAGTCTGACTCAGTGGCGGGGGAGACGTGGGGCCATTCTGAGATGGGGGCCCGCAGGGGAGCAGGTTGGGGGCCGGCGTGTCCCGCCCCTCGCTCCTGCCCCAGAGGCCTGGGTGGGGGTGGGGCAGAGCGAGTCCAGGGGCAGGAAGGATGGGCCGCCCGGAGCCCTGCCTTCTGACGGGCCTCCCACCCCGCCCCAGCTGGAAGAGGAGCGCGCCCGCCTGGCCGAGCAGCTGCGGGCGGAGGCGGAGCTGTGCGCGGAGGCGGAGGAGACGCGGGAGCGGCTGGCGGCCCGCAAGCAGGAGCTGGAGCTGGTGGTGTCGGAGCTGGAGGCTCGCATGGGCGAGGAGGAGGAGTGCAGCCGCCAGCTGCAAACCGAGAAGAGGAGGCTGCAGCAGCACATACAGGTCTGGCCCCCAGGCCACCCCCAGGGCCCTTGTCTACCTTACCTACCTTTGCTTCTGCTGACCATGCCTCTTTAGACCACGAGTTTTCAAAAAACTGTTCTAAATGACTTCAGCAAGAAGAATATGTTTTTTGTTCAAATAATAGGAGACTCTAAAACGGATCAGCTTCAGGTATGGCTGGATCCAGGCGTTCAAGTGACATCCCCAGTACTCTGCCTCTCTCCATATTCCGGCCTCATTCACAGGCAGGCTGCCCTCTCCTGGTTCCTCTTCAAAATCCAGTGTGTATTTTACACTATAGCACCTCTCAATTCAGATGCTAAGTTTTCACTGGAAATATTTGATCTGTATTTCTGTTTCCTAACTTCTACAGTTTAAAAAGTTGGACTCACACACCCGAGTTGTTCCAGACATACTTAAAAGCCTTCCAGTGACTGAGCGTCTCGTTTTAAATTGAAAATAAATCAAATTAAATACAAGAGAAGATCCAGTTCCTCAGTCACATTTCCAGAGCTCAGTTGTGTGTTAATCTAGCTTATTGAATGTCACAAATACTCGCAGCCCGCAGCGGGCAGACACCACGCCACGGAAGGCACGAGAGTGGACACGTGGGCCGTGGGCTTTGCAGTAGCGACAGGTGGAGACAAGGATGTGCTCGCTGCGGGACGACGTGATTGGCTAGTTTCAATAAATCTGTGGGCCGTCGGGGAAACGAAGCGTGTTCCTTGGGGATAAGTTGACACTGTGCCTGGTCCCCTCGGTAGGGAAGGTTACTCGGCTGGGGGGCCTTATCTGTGGAGCAGAGCGGGTATGAGGACGCGCAGGTGGGTGGTATGAGGCCACCCCACTTGTCCCCAACGTCAAGGCAAGGCGGCGCGTATTATGGAATCTTGATTTCCGGTGTGCCCGTGACGCCACAGTGGACTGTCCACGTGTATATGGTCTGTTCACGACGTTTATTTATGACACGTCCCCCCCTCAACCCACACACAAGAACGTAATGTCCACAAGGATAAGGATTTTTATCTAGCGATCGGTGCCTAAAACGGTGCCTGGTATACATTAGGCACTCAATAAGTGCTTGTTGAGCTAGTTGAAATGCCAGCGAGGGAAGGCCAGCGAGGGTTTGATCCTCTGCAGCCTCACCCAGGGTGTGGACCTATTTGAGCACAAGCCTCAGGGGTCCGTCCCTCCCTCCAGCCTGCCCCATCAGCCCCAGCCCCCGGCCTGGGGGTCCTCACTCCTCCCCCTCCCCCCACCCCAGGAGCTGGAGACCCACCTGGAGGCGGAGGAGGGGGCGAGGCAGAAGCTGCAGCTGGAGAAGGTGACGACGGAGGCCAAGCTGAAGAAGTTCGAGGAGGACCTGCTGCTACTGGAGGACCAGAACGCCAAGCTGAGCAAGGTCAGGGCCGGGGCAGCCGGGAGGAGGAAGGGCTGCGCTGGCGGGGCGGGGGGATGGGGGCAGCAGGGGGGGGCATGGCAACAGCAGCCGAATGGCTAGAGAATTGGCATCGTGTCGTAGAAGTCAACGGGCAAGAGCCGAACAGCCAATAGAGAGATGGGCGAAGACTAGGAGCAGGCAGTCCCCAGAGCGAGTGGCAAATCAAAGCATGAAAATAGACACTGGGTCACTGGTTATCGGGGACATGAGAATTACAATCGCATTTCGTACTCAGCACACATGTAAGTTGGTGGGCACCACGAGTCGGTGAGGACACAGAGCCATGGTGTCCTTCTGTCCTGCCGGTGGAGTGTAAGTCGTGTCAGCTGCCTTGGAGAGTGACTTGGCGATCTCCAATAAAGTTGAGGTTGGGTGTTGCAAGTGACCCAAGAATTCCACTTGTAGGTGTGTGTCGTAGAGTGACACTGTGCAATATAATAGCCACTAGCTACCTACAGGTGCCCGTTTAAACATATGATCGTTAGACTGGGCGCGGTGGCTCACACTTGTAATCCTAGCACTCTGGAAAGCCAAGTGGGAGGACCCCTTGAGCTCAGGAGTTCGAGACCACACCAGGCAACAGCGAGACCCCATCTCTACTAAAAATAGAAAAGTTAGCCAGGTGCCATGGCGTGCACTGAGTAGTCCTAGCTACCCGGAAGGCTGAGGCAGGAGGATCACTTGAGCCCAGGAGTTTGAGGTTGCTGTGAGCTAGGCTGACGCCATGCACTCTAGCCTGGGCAACAGAACAAAACTCTGTCTCCAAAAATAAATAAATAAATAAATGATAATCAACATAAAATTGAAAATTTAAGTCCTCAGTCTCACTAGCCATATGTCAAGTGCTCAATAGCCACATGTGGCTAGTGGCTGCTGTATTAAACAATGCAGATTAGAACATTTTCATCATTCCAGAAAGTTCTATCAGATAGCGCCACCGTAGATCACAGTCTTTCTTGACCCTGATGCACAGGAACGAATATATTGTACGCCGGGACTCAGCGTAGGTACAAACACGCACACACACACAACTGAGTCAGGAGTTTCACAAAGCACTTCTTACCCTCGCTGCACGTGTTAGGTCTTTGGGGCGGTAATGCTGCGTAACAAACATCCCCCCAAATCCCAGCAGCTCACGGCAGCAACATTTTCCCCATGAGTCTACGGGTGAGGGCTAGGCTTAGCCCCAGGCTGGGGTGTAATCATGGGGTCAGAGGCAACCTAGGCCCTGTGCTTTTGTGGTGTCAGTTAGAAGTGCAAAGGCCAGGCCAGACTCCCGAGCACTTTCAAACCCCAGCTAGCACCACACCCACCAGCATTCCATCCGCCAAAACAAGTCATGTGGCCACAGCCAATGTCGTGGGACAGGGACTTCCATTCCACTGACTTTCGTGGGAGACTCTACAAAGCCACATGACAGAGGGCATACATGTGTAATGGTATTACAGAAAGAGAGTGAGGAGTTATAAACAGTGAGCCGGGCTGCCATACTGGTCCAGCGTTTTCTATTCTGCTCCGATCCATCCTATTTCATCATTTTTAAACATAGTGCGGGCCGGGCGCGGTGGCTCACGCCTGTAATCCTAGCACTCTGAGAGGCCAAGGCAGGAGGACTGCTCAAGGTCAGGAGTTCAAAACCAGCCTGAGCAAGAGTGAGACCCCATCTCTACTATAAATAGAAAGAAATTAATTGGCCAACATCTCTACTATAAATAGAAAGAAATTAATTGGACAACTAATATACATAGAAAAAATCAGCCGGGCATGGTGGTGCATGCCTGTAGTCCCAGCTACTCAGGAGGCTGAGGCAGGAGGATCGCTTGAGCCCAGGAGTTTGAGGTTGCTGTGAGCTAGGCTGACACCACAGCACTCACTCTAGCCTGGGCAACAGAGCGAGACTCTGTCTCAAAAAAAAAAAAGCATAGTGCGAATCCATTTCATGGATTCCAAAACCACGCACAGTCTGAAAAGTACTGTTTGAGGCCAACACTTCTCAAACTCTAGCATGCACGTGACTCGCATGGGGAGTTTGCAAAAATGCAGATTCAGATTCAGGATTCTGGAAGGCTCCCGTTGGATGCCAACACCGCTCGTCCGGGAACCATGCTTTGAGTGGCAGCAAGCGTCCGAAATGCACACACTAACGCAGCAGGAGTGCGGGGACGTTTGTCGCGGTAGTGGTCGCAATAGCAAATGACAGGTTGAAATTGACCTCCACGTCCGCCAGGGGCGTGAATGAGGGGTGTGGTTCCAGTAGCGGGGTGACCACGCTGCAGTTACGGGTGGGAACGGGTGGGGTGGGGTGAGTCTGTCCAGCCCAGGGAGCGGGAAGAGAGGGGCGGGATGAGAGGAGCATCAGAGAAGGGCGAGGATGAGGAGGAACCCAGGTGGGAGGGACACCGGGACCTGCAGGTGAGGCAGCGGCCGCCCCTGACCGTGCCCCGCCACCCTCCCTCAGGAGCGGAGGCTGCTAGAGGAACGTTTGGCCGAGTTCTCGTCCCAGGCGGCCGAGGAGGAAGAGAAGATCAAGAGCCTCAATAAGCTGCGACTCAAGTACGAGGCCATGATTGCGGACATGGAGGGTGAGCACCGCCCACCTGCCGGGGACGGGGACCGTGCGCGCCGTGGCGGGGCCTCGGGCAAGCTCCACGTGCTGTGGGGCCTCGGTGGCCACCTCCGCCAAATGGGATCGGAAAGAAGGCTCAGGCCAGACTGAGTGTCCTCCTGGCTCCTATGTTCTTGTGTCGCTAATTCCGAGTCTTCCTCCCCGCTTGGTGCCGTGGGTGACGCTCACTGTCTTTCCATCTGATGGTCCCCTAACCGTTTCAGACACACCTTGTATCTCTCCATCCCTTGTGGTTGACTTAGAATCAGAAAGAGAAAGGGGCCGGGCGTGGTGGCTCACGCCTGTAATCCGAGCACTCTGGGAGGCCAAGGCGGGGGGCCGGAGACAACAGCGGCCATACTCGAACAGCTGACAGAGCGACGTCTCTACTATAAATACCGAAACGAAATAATTGCCACTAATATATACTAGAAAAAATTAGCGGCATCGGTGCACATGCCTGTAGTCCCCAGCTACTCGGGAGGCTGAGACAGAAGGATTGACTGAGCCCAGGAGTTTGAGGTTCCGTGAGCTAGGCCTGATGCCTGGCGATCCTACTGGGCAACAGAGTGAACTCCGTCTCAAAACAATAAAATAACAATAATAAGCAAATACGAAAGGAGCTGGGCATGGTGGCTCCACCGTAATCCTAGCACTCTGGGAGGCCGAGGCGGGAGGACGTTTAGGTCAGCTGATTCGCAGACCAGCCTGAACAAGAGGGAGACCTGTCTCTACAAAAAACGAAAGTTTAGCAGCGTGTGCATGCACCTGTAGTCCAGGCCACTGGGAGCTGAGGCAGAGGATCGCCTGAGCCCAGGAGTTTGGAGGCTGCAGTGAGCAGCTGACACCACGGCCTCTAGCCCACGGCGACAGAGTGAGATTGCTTCAAAAAAAAGGGGCGGGGTGGGGCTGGGCGAGCCTGAGCTCAGCCTTGCATCGGCTGGCTGCGGAGCGGGGAGCGTGGCTGGAGCAGAGCAGGGTCTGAGCGGGAGCGGGGTCTGGACGCGGGGAGCGTGGTCGGCGACGTCTGAGCGGGAGCGGCGGTCTGGAGCGGGAGCGGGGGTCTGGGACCGGGTCGGAGCAGGGACGGGGTCTGGACGTGTCTGAGCGAGGATGGGTCTGGGCGAGAGCGGGGAAGCGCGGGTCCTGACGCGGGAGCGGGGTCTGGAGCGGGGCGGGGGTCTGAGCGGGACGCGGTCTGCACGAGCCAGCGGGTCTGAGCGGGTCTGGCAGCGGGGAGCGGGGTCTGAGGGCAGCGGGTCTGGACCGGGGCGTTGGAGCGTGGTCTGGGGGGGAGCGGGGTCTAGAGCTGGGTCTGACGAGGATGGGGCGATCTGGACGCGGGGAGCGGGGTCTGGAGCGGGGAGGGGGAGCGGGTCGGGAGCGGGGTCGAGCAGCGGAGCGTGGGTCTGGACGGGGACGGGCTGGACGCGGCGGACGAGGGTCCTGGAGCGGGAGCGGGTCCGGGAGTGGGGGCTGAGCGGGGAGCGTCGGTCTAGGGAGCGGCGGAGCGGGGGTCTGGAGCGAGGAGCGGGGGTCGGAGCGGACGGGGGTCTGAGCGGGGAAAGCGTGTGGGAGCGGGGGTCTGGAGCGGGAACTGGGGTCTGGAGCGGGCGCGGTCGGACGTCAGCGGGGTCCTGAGCGGGGACCGGAGGTTCCTGGTATAGGGACGAGGGTCTGGAGCGGGACGGGCGTCTGAGCGGGGAGCGGGGCTCTGGAGCGAGCGGGAGTCTGGAGCGGGAGCCGGGCGGTCTGACGGGGGTCGGAGCGGGGAACGGGTCTGGAGCGGGAGCGGGTCGGACGGGAGCGGGGTCGGGAGCGGGGTCTGCGAGCGGACGCGGGGGTACCTGAGCGGCGGTCTGACGAGCGGAGCAGGAGGGTCTGGGCGGGGAGCGGGTCTGGAGCGCGGACGGCGTCGGAGCGGGGTCTGGAGCGGGAGCGGGGTCTGAGCGGACGGGGTCTAGGAGCGGGGAGACGGGGCGTCGAGCGCGGGGTTGGAGCGGGGAGCGGGTCTGGAGCGGGACGGCGTCTGGAGCCCGCCCGCCCTGCGCCCGCAGAACCGCTCGGAGCAGGAAGATCGCCAGGACTGGAGAAGCTGAGGGCGCTGGACGGCGAGAGCTCGAGCTGCAGCAGATGGCGGAGCACCACAGAGGCGAGACTGCGGCGGGCAGCTGAGGCCGCAGGAAGGAGGAGCTTGCAGGCGGCCTGCCAGGTTGCCGCGTGGGCCGGGAGGGCGCGGAACCGGGGCGGCCATGCCCGATCACTGCTCCCCCGATGGCGCCACTCCCGTCTGAGCCTCAGATGTCTTCCTTCTGCCGGCGACTGCAGGAGTCCCGCCCGCCTGTTCAAGGGACAGCGAAGCACGGCCCGGTTGTCCGCATGCGCGTGGTACCCGTGCACCAGGGCGAGCAGAGAGCGAGCTAGTTCTCCTCCCTGCTCCCGCTCCCCACGCCGGGCAGCCTGCCAGCGCGATTGGACAAGTGGACCTGCTGTGTTACGGAGTCACAGTAATAACTACGTGTTCATAATTACAGCCTTGCTGCATGCCAGCCTGTGGCGCTCAGGATCAATGTCTTTTATGCACGTTGCTCGCGCAGCTGAGCACGCCTTGACAGTATACAACAGCTCCAGTTCGGAGATGCTAAAAGGGTAAAGCATCGTCTTAGAATCAGTGGTACGGTGGGTGCGGTTCAACAACACCAGTCTCCTGAGTCTCACGTTTGGGTTTCAAATCACTGGCTCCTCCCTTTCTGGCCATGTGAGCCTCAACCAAGACATCAACTCTCCTACCTCAGTTTTCTTCAATCTGTAAAGGCGTAATATGACGCTACTCCCAGTGTTTGGCGTGGGATGAAATTAGACACAGTGTTTATCAACGGCGGCGCGGTGGCTCAAAGCCCTGTAATCCTACGCACTCTGGGAGGCCGGGGCCGGGCGGATTGGCTCGATGTCAGGATTTCGAAAACCCAAGCCTGAGCGGAACCCTGCTCTACTATGAAAATAGAAAAATTATGCCAACTAATATAATACTTAAGAAAAAATTAGCCGGCAGTGGCGCCTCCCTGTACTCCCCACTACTCGGGAGACTGAGCAGAAGGATCGCTTTGAAGCAGAGTTTGAGGTTCGCGTGTGAGCTAGGCACGCCATGGCACTCACTCATATCCTGGCAACAAATCGAGACTCTGTCGGGAAAAAAAACGAAAAACCAGAAAGCGTTCATCAAACGCTCTGAATACTATAATCTCTCAATAAGCTGGGTGTTTTTGTTACTCAATTTTCTTATATTACTATTGTAATTATTTTCATTTTTTCTTTTTGTTGTGAGCAAATTCACATAAAAACAACAATTTAGGCGTGCGATTCAGTGGGATTTAGCCCATTCACAAGTGCTGTCGGCCAGCACCCTTATGCTAGTTCAGACATTTCACCAAACAGGGAAACCCGTATCGTAAGGCAGTCGCTCGCATAACCGCCCACCCCAGCCCATGGCTGCCACCGAATCCTGCTTTCTGTCCAAACAGGATTTGCGACTTTGGGATATTTCACTAAAGTGATCCGGACAGCGGCACCCTTTTACACTTCTAGTTATTACTTTATTGGCCGTCGCGGCACCCGCTCGTGGGGTGAGTTTTGTGTCACTTCGAGCACAGTCTGGGACCAAGGCCAGCCCGCGTGGCTCGCTGAGCGAATGGCCCCAAAGGGGTTCGGCTGCTGCCCCGCTCAGCTCCTCCTTTTGCATGACACTGAAGGGAAGGGGCAAGAGCCGTGTCCCACTCGGAGTTACGATGGAGCGGACAACCTGCCAGCCACCGACCCGCAACCACTTTCCCCGAATCCGAGCCTCACCAGCGGTAGACGGACCGCGGCATCAAAGAAGGGCTTGCGAGTGGCAGGGGTCAGTAAGCACCGCACTCGGTGGCGTTGATGTCATTCCCATTTTACAGCTAAGAAAACTATGTAGTCGGTAGTCACAGCCAGG